CACCCAATTTCATACAATCTGGGAAATAAATTGGAGGGATTCTTTATTATTTCTGACAAACTAAGAAACCACTCGATCAATAGGTTCGATTATATTTATTCAATCAATGCAGAAAACACTCAATGAATTAAAGTAAAATGACATGATAATGAACAATTAAAGTTACAGACTATCAAATCAACCAAAAATCATAAAAAAACACTCAATGAAACTCACTTGAAATAATGTAAAATAATAGTAAATTTGAAAGATCAGATTGAAATGTTTGATTTCATGCTCTGAATGATTCGATGAAATATAATGAGAATTAACTATGAACAGCTAATTTTTTTTTTAATTACATGAATCATAGAGGAACATGAATTGAGATTTTTGCAAAGTCACTGAAGCGTTATCTATCATCAGGGTCCAAAACGAACACACAATTGCTACACAAGCTACAAATAAGCAAAATCTACTTTATATTGAAAGCAAGAATATACAAGTAACTGACCGAGTAACGAAATCTGGAAAATTGCAGAAACAAAAATATACCTCTATATTAGCATGGAACTTAAAATGTATTTGGGTTAATTTATGCAGAGTTTTCAGAGTTGAAAGTCGAAGTTAAAATTCCTTTAGAAACTTATGTTGGCTCACGAATATTAACAGACGAATTAGGGGGGAAATGGGGGACTACCTAATTTTTTCATCCGGCGAATATTCATGTATTTCTCTATAAGTAAGGTAACCACTCATGCACGCAGCCACTCTGATTTATCGATTTGTAATGATCTACTATAATTTGGAGATGTGTAATCTGTGATGACAACACAGTTATATCTAACGTCTCAACTAGGGATGTGAATTTCGAATATTTTTTTTTTAATCGAATTTTGAATCACAATGTTCCGATTTGAATATTTCCGAATCTGATTCTATTTAGTATATCATCATATTATTGTTAACTCTCTTCAAATTTGGACGAAATATAGTATATATTTTGATAAAATAACAAAAATGAGCTTAAAGAATTGAGAAAGTTACTAGAAAAACACACTGCATGAATGTATCAACTACCAAATATATTAGGCTGAGATTTAGTTTTTGTTACATAATGATAAAAGTATACTCAGTTACATATTTACTTACATACAATTATGTTTGCAAATAATACCGGGTGTACAGCGATTGTTTCTTCTAAAATTGATCTTCAAAATTTATCCAAATGATAAACGCTAGTTAGTACTGTATGCACCATGATTTCAAAATAAGCAATGATAACGGGGGAAGCATCGCAGACATGTTTTTAATAAGGTATAAACTATAAAGCAATGATGTTTTTTTATAATAATATTATGTAAATAATTTGAAGAAACGTTTAAAATATTTGTAAAACTCTGTAACATTTTAAGTAGTCGAACAAAATTGAGCGAAACCATTGGTCCCTCGAAAGCTGCTACCAACATAAAATATAACGAATCTGGGAGTGTCACGGCTTTGGAAAAGTCAGCGCCGCTGTGTCGTGCAATTGCCTTTTGTGTTTTTATTACTTTTTTTTTAAATAGAATCAAGCACCTTTTTCCTAAATTGCTTTGATTCGAATTGATGTTGATTCGAATCGCTTCGATTCGGAATTCTGAAACTTACATCCCTAGACTCTTAATCGCTGGGGCATTACAGTGCGTCATAGAATTGTAAACACAAATAATAGCGGCGGTTCTCAAACTGTGGGATCGCCCTACAAGGGGTGAAGTTAATTAAAAATATATAAAATTATTCACCACAAAACCTCAAATAAAAACCTTGTCGTTCAAAAACAACTGCACTGATAAAACATATTTTTCTTGTTTTTTTAAGTTTTCATTTATTTCATTATTCGTAGTTTATTGTTAACTGGTTATATTTGATGTGGGGCGGGAGCCTTGACACATTCTAAAAAAGGGGCGCGGCTTCAAAAGGCCGAAAACCACTGTGCTATAGTGTCAGAGATGGCTCTCTCAGTCTAATAGTGGGAACTAGAAAACCTGTTAAGGATTCAAGGCAAGCCTTGGGTTTGAATCCAGTCGGGTCTGTTAAAAATCAACACAACTGAACTTGAAAGTCACATTCACTGATATTAGAAAACAAAGAAACACAAATATATTCAAAGCAGGTGGCAATTCACTACAGATCAGATGAGAAAAATACAGGGCTCAAAATCAACACGTATTTATACATTCTACATACAATGAAATCATCATGGCTACTAGAAATTGTTGTGTTAAAATTTTTTCAAATTAAGGTCGCGCACACTCAGAAATAAAGAAGACGATATTGCTGAAACTATATAAAATAAGGGTGCTGCTTTATTAGCACTCACTCAAAAATATAGAAAACTGATCTCTCAGCGAAGTTACGTCAAATCACTAAAATGCCCTAAGCTACTGAAACTATAAAGAATTATCGCGAAAATAAAATATTTTTCATAAATGATCGAAGGAAACCTGTAGTTTTACGTTCTGTATTTTATTTGTTCATATGTACTTTTAGTCAACTATCAGTTTGGGGGGAAATTATAAAAAATAAAATTATTTCTAATTTTTTTTTAGAATCTGGAATACTATTCCATAGATCAGAATTTGCTAATTTACAGAGGATTTATGAATTCAAAAAATGTTGTAGTGATGTTTATCATTATCACTCTTTTCCAAAAAAAGTGGAATGTCTGCGTTTCGGGGCTTGAAATTTATTCAGCTGGTTACTTTTTATTTTGCCTTGAGCGTTTCTCAAGTATTTCTCTGTACACTGCATTCTGTCCTGTTTCTCCTCGTTACTGGGCCAATCCTCAACTTCCTTATACGCATCCAAAGATTGCGAATCAAAATGATTTAACCTTGGAATAATCACCGAGATCATCATACGCAGAACCAATGTTGTTTAATAGATCCCCAAACACTCTATGACTCAGAGAACACTCTGTGTCAAGGTCGAATGATATCAAGGTTTGTGGCTTTAGAATTTTGATATTTACCTTAATGCGCGACTTCATGGCCACCCTGTACCTGCGAAATCACGATGAGAAACATTATTAGTTGATTTAATTTACTCGAGGTCCACAAAATTTTAGACAAATCATCAAAAAAGTGTTCGTATCACTAAAAGGTGGGAAACCCTTTGTCTTCACAAATCCACTCATTAACTATTATTTGCAATGGGATACAAAACTGCAATTTCATGCATCGTTTATATGGCAAGCCCGAATCTTTAATAGAAAGCCCTCCGCCACTGCTCAAAATTAGATTGCGTTGAAAATTCAATTTTTCAAATCATTTCTACTGGATTATCCTAACTGGATAATTAATATTTTTTTTAAGTCGTGGCGGGGATGTTTTTCTCAAATCTCACATTATTGTATTAGTAGCGGAGGCTTTCTACAAAAGATCCGCAAACGCTTTCCCGTCGCTAACCTTTGAGGAGAGATGGGGGATTAGAAAAAGTGAGCGCGGGATTATACAATCGCGTTAAGATCGATAGGTCCATCGAAAAAGAAGCGTCATGTGGCCGTGACAAGTCAATGTCAAAGCCGCCTGTTCCGGGTCTGGTTTTGACTCTTTTCTCGCCGCTTCTACCCGAAATGTCAATAACAGACTAAAAACCTGATTTTCGATGATAAAGATTGCGCATAGATATTTCGTTTACTAGGAGCACAGACGTCATAACTTACGACGACCGGCAGACAAACAGGTCTCTAGCTCGCGCGGTAGGATAACTGAGTGATAATATGTGGAAGGGATATCTGAAACACGAACGGTACTTTCGCTTGGCCAGCAGATTGAAAAACAAAAATCCTATGGGCAGTATACTCCTCAGATTTTCATTTCAAAGGGATTGGGTGTTTCCAAATTTAGGGAGTGACAGATGTTTGAAATTGGCGATAAAACTGTTTATAACTTATGAAAATGGGTTTTGTATTTGACTGACTATCTGCGTTGGTGTGTATACCCGAATCTTTCTGAATTTTTAAATACGATTATAATCAAGTTAGAATTAGTCACCCCTTAAAATTAGGGAGGATGAAATTTTAGGAGGGATCTTCACCGTCTACAGTTGATTTCTTATCCCGGTATTGTTAACGTCAAATTAAGAAGGATAGGATTTACAATGCTAGGACGGCTTAATCATCGTCCGGTTATCAGTTCGTTTCAGGTATGGGATTGGGTATTTGTTTGCACGCATGGACTTGATGGTGAAGGAAGCCGTAACCAACCAGCGGTTACGTGAATCATCTTAAAAAAGGTTTTGCTGTTTCTGAGGTTTTTGTGACAATAATCCATTGTAGTATAAAATGAACCAATGACGATGCTAGCAGTTGAGGGCACAGTGACCTAAATGTAGAGTCTAAACAGGATGGTAAACCAATTATGCGAAGAGTTGTTGTGTATGACGGTTCCTTAGTTAAAACATCTAGGACGGGATAAAACATCTTGTAGTTGAGTGGCAGAAAAAGTTAAATAACAAGACAGCGAAGCTCAAACGAAATAGTACGGGTATGCAATCTGTCCCAGTAGACTACCGTCAACGCAATCTTTACGACTTCCGTCACTAGGTGCGCAACTTTGATGACGTCATCACACATAAGCAACGAATCCCATTGAATTTTTAACCACTGAAATTTTCAAAGCAATTGGCCCAGTAGTTGACGAGACAAGAATATTGATTTTTAACAACAACGATACAATAACAAAAGATCCATAGGTCCATTTCGTGTCCAATAACAAGATTTTTCAAATATGTAATGGGCGATACCGCCGTTGCGTCTGTTTTATAGGGTATCGCCGTTTGTAAGTATATCTCCGTTTTGCCTTGGCAAGACAAGAAATGTTGCAAATGCAATTACGTCAGTGTGCAGCAAAGTATTGAAACGGCCAAAATTGATAAATAATTTTTCAATATACTGTTTCCTGGTTATTCCTAATAGGAAATTATTTCATTAAACTTTTACGTTAAAAAACATTATTTTTCTACGATACTGAAATTATTTAGATATCATACAGTTGTTGGTATAACTACAACGAACGTTCCGGTCTGGATCGGATTAGATAGAGATAATCTGACATAATTCAGATAAGATCAAGAGATAACGCTGTTGTCGAGATAATTCAAGAACAACTCTTGGACAAAATCTTCGCCGAAGAATTTATTTTATATTTCAAGCGTGTTTGGTTCAGCGAATTGAAAAATGTACGGTATAATCCTCGATAGCATGACTGACTGTATTCGTCGACTCTACGGCGAAGAAACCTGGAAGAGAGTTGTTGGATCGACTGATATTTCGAACACGGTCTTCACAACTCACAAGGTAAATATATACAGTGCCAACAAATTTTTGAAATTTTTAAAAGGGAATTTATTGATACCATATTTTGTTATAGCCCCCACAGACGTATTAAATGAAGTAAAAAACAACTTGAATAATTACTGACTAAAAAAAATGGTTAACATATATTGAGATCTGACTTCATAACAAAATTGAAATTGTAAAGAGACTTCATGAATACGCCATTTTGTATTTAACAAACTAGTCACACAACACGACTGTAAATTTGGAAACGACGGGGTTAGCATGTATTGAAATCCGACGTTGTGTAGTCGAAATCCCCGAGGTCATCGAAGTGGGACTTACAAATGTCGACAGTTTTACTCACTGAAACCAACAAATGACTCATTTTTATCAGATCTACGACGAGCAGATGATACCGATCATCGCCAAAGCTTTGAGCGGAATCACTGGAAATGGAATCAACACCATTATGGAGCAGTTTGGAAGACATTTCATCGCCTACATTGATGACATCAGGTATGACTGGTTATGCATAGCATGGGACAGTATATGCTGTTAAGCTTGGAAAGATTGCGGTTGGCATCGATACGGGTTTCCCAAACTTTCTGTTCATCAGTCCCCTATTGGACAATTTAAGATGCATTACATTGCGTGCTGTGATCGGAGAATATAAGTCATAAGTCGAAATGTTATAGACTATAGTAGACTTGGTGTGCATTATAGTGACAGCTTGTACTTGGACGAGAATGTGATTTTCTAATAAGTTCTTAATCTCGGGCCTTTATATTATAATTGCAACATTTTTTATCATCATATGATAAAAAATATGTTATGGCAAATTAGAAGTTACGGAAGGAATATTCTTAAACTTAATTTATGTACCACTGAAAAGTAGATATGTACCCCGCGGGTACATGTACCCCATAAATCAGGGGTTCCAAACCGCGGTCCGCGGGCCAAATCCGGCCCGGGCCCGCCGAGCGTACGTGAAATAGTTTTCAACAGATTTCATTTCTACCTTTTTGCGATTTAGATAGCGCTAATTTATGTCATGAGTTCAAGCACGTGTTTATCGTAACAATTCAATTATACCAGTATAACAATTATAGGTACCGGTGTTAGGATTACATAGGACGGTAATTTAGTTATCAGCCATATAGGAAAGCTTAAAGATGTCAGAAATCGAACGAAAACTAGATTTAGAAAACTAACGTTTCTTGGATAAATGGCGGTGTTCGTATTTCTCCATTGAAAAGTAACAAACTTTAGAGATTTGTTTTCTTTGCCAACGAACTATTCCGGTTCTGAAGGAATGCAACATTAAGCGCCATTACGAGTCAAACGGACATGTTTTAAAAAAATGTCAAATGAAAGTGAATCCACTTTTGGGCGCTACATTCTTCCGACCCGCGAACATCTTTCCGATTCTAATTTGACCCGCGGCCAATAAAGTTTGGGAACCCCTGCCATAGATGGTATAACTATCCTTTAGCAAGCCGATATGAGCCCAGTAGCTTACGCAACTATAGTTATCAAATTTCAACCGATTATCGAGTTACGACATACGTTTTTAAGCAGTGAAGGAATTCAAAATCTTAAGAATTGGTTTTCTTTTGTATCGAATTCACTAACAACGGGCTACTTCAGACCGGAGGTTATGAAACGGTGGGACGCACCCCACTAGGGCGCGTACACAATTTTTTGAGGGGGCGTAGAAAATGTTTTGAGAAGGGCGTGAAACTAACTGAAACAAAAAATATTCGTTAGATTTGATATTTTCCGCCTTATTTTGGATATTTAAATTTCAAAGCTTTTTACGTTTTTCAACATGGTTTTTGCATAAAACATACTTTCAATTTACTATCTCTTATTTGTAGCTAATTGTTTGCTAGTTATTTTTGAGGTGGGGCGCAAGACTTGACAAACTCTAAGAAGGGGGCGCGGATAAAAAGTTTGACAATCACCGCTTTAGACTATTTAAATAACCATGTCTAATTTATCTCTCTAAAAAACAGTAGTGTTCTCAAGTCCTATTTTCGTATACATCAACGCCGCGTTTCTTCAGCTCGCAAACCAATGAGAAAATCATAAAATTGGCTCTAACTAAGATAAACTATAACTGTACTTTCCAGAAATGACAGAATTGCGAAAGTTCTTGGACGAACTTTCAAGGATTTTCTGAACGGACTTGACTGCATGCACGAATACTACCGATTCAGTTTCCCAGAGATGCAACCACCAAGGTAGGCTTGTTTAGTATTTCGTATTGCTTTCAAAGTCAGGCGGAGTTTTATTGGTGTAATACTGTAATTGAATTAAACCTTTTTTCACGATTCCTGTAAAATCCTGGTATTTATTTTGTGTTGGATATACATGGACTCCTCAAGGTCTTTTGTGATTCGTAAAAATACAATTTAAATGATATTTTCAATTTTAAAGAGACTTTATTGTCACCATCAATATATATTTTCCCGACACATGCACATTGTGCAAAGCGCTCAAAGCATCGCTGAATACCCCGCATGTGTTCGCACGATGGATGGCACTCTTCATTGATGAATTGTGGGTCACGTGGCAGTTTGAGATTCTCACACAGAGAATTACTCGCATCTGCAGCCAGTGTCTGATTAACTATTATAATCCATTGACTGGTAATCGAACGACAGAGAAATATACTGAAGAATACCGATTGCCATATTTGGATTTGTTATGACGCTAGGTGATTCCCCCAACAGTTTCTGTGTAAGGCAGGCAGACTGTTTCAGCTGGTTCAGATTTTGGCTTCGAGGAACGAATTATACTTTATTGTATTTCTGCTATATATAGTACAATTGCTCGCTCGGTCAATATTCTTATCATATTATTAACATGTACTTGTGCTTTATTTCGCTTTAGATACGTTCCAAATTTGCTTTAGATTTAAGTTGAATAAAATGTGTATCAGTGCGCTGAAGACCCTAATCCATATCAACTTTCGTGACACTTATAAAATGACTTGGTTGCAATTTTCAGCTTTTTCGTGGCCGAAGAGGACGAGGAAGGACTGGAAGTTCATTACAGAACAAGACGAACTTTTACTGGGGTGATGTTCTACGTGAAAGGAATCGTTCACGAAATTGCCACAAGTTTCTTCTCTCTTGATGTGAATATAGAAATCACTCAACATGGATTCACAGGAGACGTATTGTGCGCAGTGTTCAGGTTAAAAAATTTTCTTAACAATGCGCGATTGCCTTGTGCAATGGTTCTCAAACTTTCATCATTTCCTGCACCTTCTAAACACTAGCACCCCCTCCACCAATGACGCATTTCCATCTATTTTAGATAGATAGATTATTTTGAAAATTCCATATTACACACAAATTAAAAATGCAGTATTCTGGAGAGCGAGCAAAACATTCAAAAAACTTTACCACGTTCAATCAAGAAAAGGAAACCAAAAGAATATATGCATTACAGTCAAACAATTAAACAAGTGTAATATCGATTTATACTTAAATAATACTGTCATATCGCGAATGGTGCCTAGCTAGGATCTTTGTCTCGAAGTACAATATTGCGACATCGGGCAATTAAACGTTTATATGATGGGTGCTAAAGGGCCATGGGTGCTAAAAACGTCTCCGGAAGGGTGCCATGATCCATAAAAATTTGGACACCTCTTCACGTGCCTTCATTTACATAATACCATAACTCACTAGCTAGCACTCCATCATCTTCTTTCTAGACTTCACTTTCGCAACGACGAATACGTGCGGTGTCGAGAACTGATCAAGGCAAAACGGGATTTCAGAGAAAACAACAAACTATCTTTCCCATCTCACGTGTTTTTTGAACTGTTTCCGTTCCACGTCGTCTTTGACGAGAGGTGAGTTCCCAATTATATGTAGAAATAATGGCGGTGAGAATTATGGGTTATTCCCGCGATACTAAATACCTGTTTTTGTGAAGTGGTAGTGAATTCAACATAGGTGCAAACTACATATACTATAATTCTATAAGAAGTTATTAAATGGGTATTCCAAGATTTGACACGAGTTCTAATCATCTTTCTCCTATTTTCAGACTTTGTATCCTGAGCAGCGGTCATGGATTGGACGAGCTCTACCCCGGCCTGGACGGAAGAAGAATCAATGAAACTTTCTTCCTGACTCGACCACTGGGATACGATCTTACTTGGGAGAATGTGAGTTTGTAACTTTCTATGAAATCCACTGCAAGGCGCGTTTGTGTCGCGATTATTCTCGTGTCGACAATGCAGAAAATTTGGCGCCGCTAGATTTTAATATGCCCTCGACCTCACCTAGCTCGATGGCCTAATTAAGGTTGTATGTCTCAGTAGTAAATATGTATCTCAGGATAAAGCATGCGATAACAAGGCCTATCGCCACGGTCAAGCAAGAGAATAGCATGCCCATTACCTGTACTAGGATAGGATAGGATAGGATTTACATATTTATCCCGGGGGAGAGGAAAGCCGATAAGACGGCTTATCCATATGGCGAACCACGGCCTCTCGTCCGGTTACCATTCCAAGTCGGGTATGGGATTAGTTTTTACTGTATTGTTTGTTTTCGGAAGCATGGACTTGGTGGTGGAGGAAGCCGTAACCGACCAGCGGTTACGTGAACCACCCAACGACGGCGAGGAGTCCAGCAATCCTCTCGCACATAACCATCCCTACATGGGATTCGAACCTGCGAACCCACGCAGAGTAATTAGAGGTGCGGTGGCGAGCGTATTCCTAACGCTTAGCCCGTTGAGCCACACCGCCGCGCCTAGAAAGCAGTGATTACGAAGACCACTGAACATTGCGATATCTAGCCATCCTGTCGCTCGTATTCAGTCGATGCGCAAGATCATTGGTGCTTTCAGCGCAGAGCCTGGTGGACTACTTAGATACTTCCAATTAAATTTGTTTTTAATCGTTTAGACAATAAATCTTTTCATGTAAAGGTATCTTGAAGGTATAAAAGGTATCTAGTGTTATATAAAACTAGTACTGTGGTCTTTTAACAATTTGAATGCTTCATATTGTGTCTTTTTTCAGGTCTTGATTCACACCAATAATGTGTTTGAGTTGACTTCTGTGAAGGCAGCAGGGAGAAGAGGAAAGACTGATGACAGTAAGTCTGATCTTCCATTGCTTATATAGGTATGGTGGGTACTCCCGTAGTGTGTGTACCAGGTCAGGCCATCATTTTATTCCGATTTTCCTTATTTTAGTTCTATTACGAGTTCGGGGACTGCCTGTGTTGACAAAGTAAATATACCCCTGCCCATATGCTTCCGTCCCTTTACACAACTTGATGTAAAGTAGGCAAACAAAATTAGTCACCGCCATATTGGTACACATACTTCTGGAGCGCCTTGTGCTAGCTGTCGAGAAATGATAACGCGATGTGAATAATATAAAAGAAAAATTATGAAACTAAGTAATCCTGTTATTGTAATCTTTAATGTTATAATCTTCAACCAATGTCAAAACTAAAGGAAACTTAAAAAGTGAGGGAATGTGGTTGCAATGCTGCCTCAAATTTTTCTATTCATGATCGACAGTTAAAGCCACGCCCATATTCTAATAAAACTGCGATTCTGATAAACAAACCTCAATGTTTCGTTTTCAGCGTCAAGATTTCGTCACCAGATGGCGGCAACACATTTTATAAAACTTCGAGGGCAGATGTTATACGTCGAAGAATGGAATCACGTTATTTTTCTATCAACTCTTATGTAAGTGTGTGTGTGTGGTAACGTTCGTGAGGGGCCCAGGGCGGAGGGGGGTTGCGTAACTTTACTGGTCAGTATCTCTTCGTTTGCCTGAAGTTTCAAATCTGTCCTAACCCAGAACATACCATGAATCCCACATCATATTCTTACTCTAACCATTTGTCTAAAGTAAGTAATATAATTATCTTAACCTAGAACAGGGGTGGGCACGCAAGCGCATTTATTCGGCACGCGAGCGAATCCTCGAAAACGAAATCATTCCTCCCTCCAATTAAATTTTCAAGACTCTGGTTCATCTGATGAAACTAGGTGTTAGTTCATTCATTATCGTTTGTTATGGCTACAAACAAATATATTATGATGTAACAAATGAGTGAGCTCTCGAAAAGAGCGCAGCATTCATTTGACTACATTCCTACGTAATATACGAGTAGATCGTCTGTGCCACCCTTTTTGTTCATTTCTGCTTGATTTATGAGATTGTACAGCTGATGTTGGTTATATTTATTTGCTAACTTACTGCTATAAATTAATTTCGAAAGAAAGATAAGCGATTAGGGAAGAGAATACACGAGAGAAGTGCAGAAAACGAACTATTCCGCGGTTTTAATGCCATTGTCAAAAACTTTTCATCTGCAATTGCAGTACCTTCCATGTTTTCATCTACATATGAATGAATCTCTGTTCTCAGTTATGAACTTTTTTAAGTCTCGTAACAGGAGTTGCCTAAAAAATGAAACCAGTAGTTTGTACACTTTTTTGAAAGCTACAACTTACAATATATAAACCCAATGTAAAATCTCTATCATCGGTAATGCAACAGCAGAAGTCTCACTGATATAGAATAAGAAAGTAATCAAATCTATTTGTCGGTCTGATATTTTCCCGAATAGTGAATCTGTCTGTACATGTTCAAGGTGTAGTATTTTAGCTTTTGAAAAAAAAGCATTGTTTTTAATTTTGGTCGGCACGCGAGGGTATTTTTTTGTTAAATTTGGAAGATTTTAGCACGCGAGCCGAAAATGGTTGCCCACCGCTGACCTAGAACATACTACGAATCCCCCTCCACATGTTTACTCTACCCATTGGCCTACAGTTTCATATCTAACCCAAACCATAATTTATTATAACTTCATCGTGCTAACCATTTGGTATAGTCATAGTCAAGTTTATTTTTTCCAACCAGTAAAATAATGAACGATGCAAAAAATAAGCAAAAATTCAAGAACACAATTTTACTGGGTAAGGGAATCCGTGGGGAACCAAAGTTGATTATCTAGCAGCGGCACCCAAGATTCAACTATCTAATTGACCTATAATTTTAGTAGATCAATATAGCATAGTATAGTTTAACGAGAAATCGTCATGACACCAGGGTGTATCTGAGAGTATCTTGCTACGATTTGTCGAATAGAACCCAAGGTGTTAATTATGCCGAGATTATTTATTTCTGAACTCGTCGTCTCGGGTTTACATCGTCGCTTGATACGTTTTGTCCAAGTTCGACAATTTCGAACGGCGAACTGATTAGCTACTCCTAGTAATGGTATGAAAATTTGCGGTTAGCGATATAATTAAGCCATCAAACCTCTTTCCGTCTCCCCCTGTGAATGTAAAAATCACAATAATAGTGATATAACTCGAGTGCACTCGACGATAGTTCGTGATTCTTCATTATGATCAAGCCCTTTTATCGGCTCCCTCAACGGGGATAAATATGTAAATCCTATCTTAAATCCTACCATTAATCGTTGAACTCTATTATCCAGGTTGGATGACCTGAACACAATGTACGAGATGGGAATCTACGTCAACGACTTGACTTTCCATGATCTGAGCCGGGATATGGTGTTGCATGGACCGCAACAAACTACCGAATATAAGTTGGCACTGGATTTGGAACAGGTAAATAGTTTTTGAACATACAATGTGTAGATTGCCGCTATGATATGAAGTGATAACATATGAACCGAGAAAGAAGGCGAAAAAAAGTGTGAATTTTTATTGGGGATAATAAAACTATTTGTCACTTATAAAACGAGGAGTTGTTGAAGCCATTTGGTAAAAATAAAACGCTAGTTACACGCAAGTCGCACATCGGCTTTCGTAGTTTATAATGTGCGCATAAATGAGTATTTTAGTAATAATAAAGAACTAAATAATTTTTGTGATACTACAGGAAATGCGAAGCAGAATTCTCCCCCAGGAATTCCTATACATAGTTGGACGCTGCGTATGCTTGCTTTTAATAACTTTGCCAATACCATATTTTCTCTTTTAATTAACAGGGACAAACAGCAAGACTTGAGGAAATTATTGAGACGTTGGACGCCGAAAGAAGAAAAACAGATGTTCTTCTGCACAGCATGATCCCAAAGGAAATTGCAAGAAGTTTGAAACAAGGATGCACAACTATGACACTGTGTGAGGTAAGTATGGTCCGGTATAGTATTGGGCAGTGTTTTTCAAACTGTCTTCATTACGATACACTTGGTACAGCTAAATTTTTCTTTATGTAATCCTTTATGACACTTTAATGAGACCGATTTTCTCACATATTATCGCACAAAATATCGAATCTTGGCTTCATTTCGGCGATGGTGGGTCAGTACTGGTTCAAAATCTTTCAAATTTGATAGTGTCGAAAAGTTGTTTTACACGGATAAGTGGAGCCAATAGGAAAAGAAGTAAGTACGGCTAGTTTTTACAATAATGGGTATCGCGACTCCAGGTGAGCCTATTCGCTACCCAACGGGGGTCGGGACACAGTTGGAAGAATCCTGGTATGTGGCTGGAGTTCTCAATCAGATGCTCGCAAAATCTCAGGGGTACCTTGTTGGCTGATTAGCAAAATAACAAACTTTTGTTATCATGATCTCGCGTTGTTGTGGTGCAAGAATGTGTATTCAAAAATAGCGTTCACGTTTTGAGTGAAACAACGGCACAAGGAAACCAAAACAGAACTTGAAAAAAATGAAATTTATGATAAATATTCAGAAAGAGCTGTGTTGTTTGACACCATTATGGAAGTAAGGCAAGAACAACTTTTAATTCATTTCCGGAAAATAATTCTAGTTCAACTACAGTTCTCGCCTCGTCAAGCCAGTTCCATACAAATTACAATTGCATTCGGGCAATTTCATATGTGTTGATTATGAACCTGGACTACTTCAAGCTATGATTAAAAATATCGAGTCGTTTAATGTGCCTAAAATTGTCTCAAAAAAGGAATAAAGAATTGATAAGACGGTCAGAACTGAAAAAAAACTTGAAAAAAAGACTTGTTTGTGCACGGTGCATACCTACCAAAATGCTGACCTCCATTATTTGTTTTTTTATTTGTTTATTTTTTGCTCATCCAAAGGTGTTGTCGACCCGATGACGGAGCAAGCCAACTTCTATCATTTCCATTTTACTCAAGAACTGTAATGTTGAAATTTTTTATTCAAGTGACAAATCTGACTCTGACTTCCATTTAAGATACCTTCTTCATAAATTGTCTTTTATGTTTTATTTCAGAGACACGACGAAGTTACGATTCTGTTCAGTGACATTGTGAATTTCGAAAGCATCTACATGCACATCGCACCACATGAGATTATGATCATCCTGAACATGATGGTAGGTTTTATATACGTTCGAATACAATCGTTGGTTGGTTGGTTCTGATCAGAAAATGAATCCTTTTTTGCAAGTTTGTCATAATACAGTAGTATTATCAAAGCCGAGAGTTCTAATTTACTTAAAATAAAATGCCAATGTTTTCGTAAACATGGTGTAAGATTTTATGTTTATCACCAATTACAAGCATTTCGCCAAAAATGATCCCTATTATAATTTCATGTCATTTTGTCCGACTCCATGGCTAAAATGGCAAATTTCGTGAAGGTGATTTCTATTGCAATTTCGGGTTACGCTCGAACTAAACAATGGCGTATCTACGTGTATAATTGCGCCCATGGCAAAGTTTAAATATGCGCCCCCTTGGTTGTTATTTGACAATTTTTATAGACGGTTGTTGTTGGAATGATATCCGTTCACGTAATTATTTGGGTAAAAATACGAGTTTCATTTATTTTTAATTTAGTTTGTTAAATCATTTTACGATTGAAAGTTCGATCTTTTTCCTCATCCACGACGCCCCTGGCTGCCATATCCTAGATACGTCGCTGAGACTAAAACATTTCGGACTAAACTCATATTAATAATTTACCGATGGCGACATGTTCAGTTCTTGCTAGGGTTGTGTGAAGACGGCAGGTTTTACTACATTTGAAGTCGTTGGATTAAAACTGTCGTTAGGTGCTGTAATAAAATAAGTCAAAACTGCTTTTACAAGATAAAGTTTTCTGAGCGTTACCTGTCTATCAATGAGGGCTTGCATGCACAAAAGCTTGCTTTTTCCAGAGTTCGAAGTCAAAATTTTCAGACCCTAGTTTTTACTGCCTTTGGTTCAGCAAAAAATTATTATTCATTATTTCCAAAAAGGTCAGCGTATTCGACATTCTTTGTGAAAAGTTTGGAATTTACAAGGTAGAAACGGTCGCAGATGGATTCATGGCCGTCTCTGGAGCGCCAACATACGACGAACATCATGCTCGCAACATGGCTGACATGGCCTTTGAGATGTTGAACGGCATCAAGACTGTCAAGGACCCAAATACTAGAGCTTCGATCCATATTAGAATTGGTGAGTGTGTGGACATAATTACTTTTGGTAGATAGCTTAGCGAGTTGCTAACAGGCTTATTCATAGAAAGACACGCAAATGAAAATCCTATCACAAGTGGTAAACGTCATAGTGCTGCTCGGTGGTGTGGCACATCCTGTTGGGCGTTAGGAATACACTCGCCACCGCACCTCTCATTACCCTGCGTGAGTTCGCAGGTTCGAATCCCGTGGGGGTTATCATGTGCGAGAAGATTGCTTGACTCTTCGCCACGTAACCGCCGATCATGGTTAAGGTATCTGACACAATTAACTGGCTAACTTATCCCATAACCGACATGTACTGATAACCGGGCGAGAGGACGTGGTTTTCATACAACTGCGTTGTCTTATCCACTTTATTCTCTCCGTGATAAATATGTAAATACTATAGTAGAGTCAACGTTTTTTTGAATGGCTATATTGACAAATTCATAAGAGCAACCGATAGAAAATGAAATGAAAAAATACCTTTTACCAGACAAATCCACTCTAAGTGCACGACGGTAAATGTGTTTAGTTGGTTGAAAGACAACTGGTAACAAGTGAATGATATCATTCTGCCTACGTTTCGAATATTTATAATACAGACGCCGCTATCATTTTTTATTATCTTTCGAATTTGGGTTTCCCTTTCCCGTTTACGCTGTTGTCCGACAAGCGATTCTTTCGATCGAGTGTTCAAAAATCGCGTGTTTGTTTGTTCCATATAATGAGTAATGGTTTCTTTTCAAAGGTCTGCATTGTGGATATGTTGTGTCGGGATTAGTTGGGCACAAGATCCCAAGATATTGCCTGTTTGGAGACACCGTCAATATCGCGTCAAAGATGGAGGCGACTGGAGAGGTATGTACTTCAAAGCAATTCGGTCTATGATATCATTTAATTCTGTTAGTAATTTTACTGCCTACTGTGTAGTTATGTAATTTCACATATGATAAGCCGGAATTCGCAATTTGGTAAGTAAAATCACAGCGTTTCAACTGAAATTTTTTGTTGTTGTTTACAGTGTTTTAGTATTGTAAAAATAGAAAATTCGCAGATTATTTGCTTATGATGTCGGTATAGCATAACAAATAACTATCTTTCGGCGCCATTTTTTGTTGTTTACTGTACCGACAGTGGCGCAGTCATGGCGGAATTGATACCTATACAATGAGAACGCGACAGAGACACGCGTTATCACGCGAACATCGATGATAAGACGATAAAATTAAGGATATAATTGGCAATGAAATGAACAAGATTTTAGCTTTTCGACACTAAATCTAAAACAAAAATGAATGTTTTGGGTATATACGAAAACGATACGTTTATTTGTAATTTATTCTCTTCCGGCACATGATGCCGTTTGGAAAACAAACGTTTTGTAGACGTTAATTAAGGATCCAGAAATCTGAAATAACAATGGCTGAAAGACTGTCGACAAATAAACTGTTAGAAAGGGAGTTGAACTTCCTTCCTAACAGTTATTACAACTCAAATATTATGTAACTTGCGACAGACACGGCCTTCTTTTCCACAAAAAAATTATTTGCCCATTCACTGGAAAAGATTCGTCATGCTCTAGTTTATGCTTAGTTTTTTCCGCATACTGGAAATACACATTGTACATACTGAGTGTAGAATGTACAGACACATCAGAGTGAAGGCAGATGCAAGGAAGTCAATGAAGTTAAACGCTTGTTTTACAGGGACAACGCATCCAGATCAGTCAAACATGCAAAGACAGTTTGAGTCGCTATGGAAACACCTACATTATTGAAGATAAAGGAATGGTACAAGCGAAAGGGTGCGGGAATATCATGACATACTGGCTTACTGGTACGCCTTTTATTATTGCTAAAGATTCAGATATTTATTCTCTATATGCAAGCCGATATGCGATATAAAAAACATGTCACAAATTACAAAAACGAATATCGGCTTGTTGCAGTTGACGAGGGGTCTTTAAAGACTTAATGAGTCATCTAGTAAGCAAAACGGTGCCGCTGAATTAGAGAGGCTAACTCAATCTTACACATTTACATACTTAAGTACAATCATACAAAGAAAGAACAAGATAAAATGAGAAATAGACTAAGGGATGTCACAATGACTATGAAATATTATATATGAGATATCTACAAACATAATTTTCGTGATGATACTCATGGCGTCCCGTAAATATACAGGATCGGGAGCTTACTTTACGCCAACTTGTATAAAAAGATTCGATATGCCAGATTTAGAGATGCTCACATTTTGGAGTTATTATTGATATATATCTCAAATTACATATCCCTTTTTTAAGGTGTGAACTCAGACAGTAAGCTACTAAACTTAGATACGAAAAGGTAAGACATTTACCCTTGTGAAAAATACCTTATTTAAAAAAAATGGTTTCTCTTGCATGAAAATTTATGAGTGAACGTAGCACCGTATCCACAAATGAGCACTTTGCTTCAATGTAGTAAGTCAGCTTTGAAACCCATATAATCACGATTTCTATAATTGATCTGTAATGTAATGTGACTATTTCCGCGCCCAAATCACATGCGCCGATATAAAGCATACTGCTTACAAGTAAATTGGATTTGGTTGCATGGTATGTCCTAGTTAGGATGGATATCAAATTATAGGCAAATGGCTACAGTGCTAGGATTTCTTCTTTCGCTTAGCCAATCCTATCTAACTAAAATATTTACGTGTTTAGGCCGATTGAATTCAAAAACATCAGAATGGACACAGCTCCTTTCAACGAAGAAGGTAAGTGGCAGAAAATATATCAGAAAAATAAGTGTCAAATCTGCAACCGATTGGCTTTAATGTGATCGATCCCTAGTCGTTTTGTTAAATCTCTACAAGAAAGATGAGTACTTCATAGAGAAGTAGGAAGTGTCGAGAATGGGGCGTTGGCAGACATAATTTGATGAAAAAAATGCAGTAAAATCCTACTAGAACTGCAAAACCAAATATTAAAAAAATAAGTAGCAAACCTGCAACCATTTTATCAAAGTTAGATACGGAAACGGAGAATTCCATAGCAAAATTTATGGGATGTTAGGGATGGAGTTTGACACATAGGCCATGTAAGAAAGAATTTTCAACATTTTCTAATGCAATTTTGCGGCATTTGCAATAAGACATAAATTCATACGCCTGCTGCCACACCATTTTTCCATATTTACAGCATACGATTTACTAAAAATCGGACGTTTCTGGCTTGCTATCAATAATCTTTTCACCAAATGAACTAAGCGGGATGAAAATGCACGCTTATATGCCTTGGATAACTTCGACAGCGATGCTTCATTGTTTTCATGAAAATTATTTCCATTAATATAATACAGTGCAAAAGAAGGCGTCAGTGGATACTAAAGTTGAGAAGACAGAGGAGAAAAAGCCGAACGAATCGACTGTCACTCAAGCCAGTAATAACAAATTGATGCCTGCTATGTCGCCAAATGTAAGAAGTACACGGGAGGAAGTGAAGGACAAAAAGGAGCGAAACCCAATATCAGCAGGTAAGGTATTAAAAATGAGTCGATCAGGGGCGCCATTCGCCAAACTTCTTTATCGTTTAACGTGTTAGTAAAGCACCCACTTGCTCGTAAAAGGCAAAAATGGTATTCTCGAATTATCGTTAATATTCGAAAGAATTTTTTGCGCGCCAAAACAGACGTTTCGTAAAGTGCCTTCTTCTCTCATTTTACCGAGAATCGGTATTCACCAAAGTTCTTTAACGCGCCGGAGTGCTCGCAAACTAACGAGGGGAAAATTTTACTCGTTAACAGTAGTTCGGCCTGTTCTTAGCATGAATTCAAGTTAAAATGAATTCAAGCGCCGGGCGGCTCGCGGCAGTGAATGATAGGTTGAGTGATCATACAGTGGTTTTTGTTCAACGACGACCGTGCGTAAGATTTCGAGAGAACTTGCGTGACCGTGCGTAAAGTTTTTATGTTTCGTGAATCGCACTTAACGAGATTTCGTAACTGCGTTTTTGAGAGACAAGGTTACGTGCGCGTAAACGCGGCTTTTTACGAAGTTTGGCGAATGGGGTCCGAGGACTGTTGAGTCGTTGGGCATTTTTGAATACCTGATGATTTCAGAATCGAATCGAATATTTTTTTCAAATCGAATCTCATATACTTGGGAGATATATAATTGTATGCGACATTTTTATTGTAATTGGTCCTGTCAACAAATGAATTACTGAAAACATAGAACACGTCACTCATACAGATTACTGAGCGTTCACACACAATTAGAAAAACGTTTCATCAACAACTCACTACAGAAAATAATCATTTGTCTGAATTGCGTTGAAAAAATATAGCTTAAAAAATTGACTTTACTTCGACCATTGGCGAAAAAAAAGCGGCAATTCGAAATTTTGCTCTGAACCGATTCGAATTTCCTTTTCGATTCCGAATGCCCAGCCCTAGTCGTATGAAGGCTTCGACCCCAAGCATGTTATAAGAAATTTGAACCAATGTTTACAATCTATTCACAATCCTGATTCCATGATCACCAAAGTCGCGAGTTGTGACAATTACTGAGTTTTGTTTCACTAACGGTTAGTTGAGTCCGAGTCATCCCACTTAGATGCCTCGAGTTACTACGACTACGAGTCATGATTAATGGCGATGCGAATCCACTTCGATTCGAGTTCATAACCCAAGTCTCCCAAAACCAGCGGTCTGTAAAAAACGTCTCGCGTTCTTTACAAATTGAGAAACTCTAACCGAATTCCGGAATATTCATCTTTAAGCCCAAGAGCAAGTTTATTTTCGAATTCTAACTTTATATTTGCGAACACTAATATGACATAAGATTGGTTGCGACTCCTATTCCTCCAAGTTCATGTATCTGGACAATAAGTAGAACAATAAGGAGAACAATAAGTTCAATAAGAACAACCACCTAATAACAAAACGATTCTTTGTACACTCTGTGTCCAATACCCACCACATTGTTCCTTACCACATTCAAATTTGAGAACATATGCAGACACGGAAACCAGTGGTTAGATGGCAGGTGTGTTTCACCGCTTAGTACAGTGGTCCCCAACCTTTTTCGTTAAATTACTTCCTTTGCTTATTTTGGACCCATTTATTCCTTCCTCATATTGCATGAAAACTACTTCATTTGTTCAATCTTTAGAGATCCTTTGCTAGTGTTATGCGCACGGCCCACTTTCATTTTTGTATAGTTTAAGTAGTTTATATGGTCATGAATAAATATTATAGAAATATTGATAAACTAAAAGTATCATATTAGGTAATAATACGTAAAACAAAGCAGAATTCCTGTCCGATTGGAAAACGTTGCCTTTCTTTCAACACATGACGCGACGCTGCTCGATAACCATGACTGGTTTATCACGTCTCCCTTCACGCTGACATACATTCTTTTATATATTACCTTACTGTTATATACTTTCGTATTTTCGGAATGTGAAAAAATAAATCACTGATTACTGTCACGCAAATAGTAATCGTTCAAATTCTGTTTAATTAGTGTCTACGGCCCTCATTGATACAACAGTCAATACGAAAAAGAGCTCGAAAAGCAGAGAAAAAGAAAAGAAAAAACCTTCATTACCGACCATTGCATCTCAGTCAAAGAAAACCGAATCTGCTCAGGGAACAAAGAAAACTCCGGAGATGAAAAAACCAATCGTCAGTAAATCTACCTCAGAGAAGATCTCATCAAGTGGGGTGACAGCAAAAGAAGAAGGAAAGGCAGTAAAAAGAGGAAAACCAGCAAATGATAAACCAGTAGCTGATCGGAAAAGCAAGAAAGAAAAACACGCGGATGCGTACAAGACCTTGCTTAAAGTAATTCGCCATTATGGAGCCAAAAATGATATGGATGATATGCCCGATGGAAGTTTAAGCTTAGGAGATCGAGCTCTGCTTGCTGAGAAGGATATTCTAGGTACAGTAAGAGTTGACATGAAAGATTCTATTAAACGCGGTGACACAAACGGAATGGGGATGGACAGAATGGTTGAAAATTTGCGCCAGAAAAATGTCAAGGACCATCTACCGCGATCTATCGAAAACTTACTGCAATTACCAAATATGGTGGTGCCGGGTTCACCACAGATTAAATCTGCGGTCGTCCCAAGAATTGTTGTTAGTGATTCCAACAGTCTGCCTATGCCTACACCCAAGAAAATTCCCAGCAACAGAATTTCGTCGTCTAAAGGATACAATTTTCAACAAAAAGAAACAACCGAGCCCATTACACTCAGAAAGTTTGGTAACGGTAGTAAGCATGCATATAAAAACAAAGTAATACCAGCCAGCACAGTTACAACACCAAGCCACAAAGCTAGGAGTTGCCAAGAAAACGCAGAAGATAGTCTAATCATTACCGAGTCTATCTATGGGAGCACTTCATCCTCAGCATCGATCAGATCTTCGGGATCCTACTATTCATCTTCAAGGGTTCCACCAAAATGTCCCTTCCAGGCCGCTTATGAAAGAAAAAGACGAAATGACGGAGATAATTTCAATCTGCTACGAAAAAGTCAGATTGATTCGAAGGTGTGTAACATTCTCTGAAACATTGACACAACATTAAATGTATGAACAGATACTTATTTTGTTTATTTTGCAAGGCTTTCATATCAAAATTATCCAATGTATTGTTGTATCTTTCCCCAAAAAAGTTTTCGGTCGTGATGCTTGGTTGACAAGAGCTCTCGTTCGGCGGTGTATTTACCAAAGGAATGTTTTTTATTCTCAAAGTTTTCATTGAACTTCAGTTATGTGCAATTCATTCGGCATACAGCCTTTTGATACTTTTCGTATCATACTTTTCCAGAGTGTATATATATTATTGTCCGTACAATAAGTTTTAAGTCGTCGCACAACATTTATCGATTGTACAGAATTATGCTGCACATAATTTTGTTTATTCAGTGACTGGTTATAACTAGGCTTACTGTTCATATTGGAACTATTCAAAGTGTTTTATCATTGTCACTCTAGAAAGATTTGTTTGATTCAAGATTTCCGTTCAATTGCTGACATTGTATTTACCAGAAGAATAATTTTCATTCTCAATGTTTTTCATAGAACTAGAACTCAAGTATCATGTTAATCTGCATCTACTAAAGCGTAATTCTCCGTTATAATTCCTTTTAGTCTTATTAGCTGTTGGCACTTCAGTGGTCGCAAATACCTTAGCACAAAGACCACCTCATAATTCTGCTTCTGAGTGAGTGCAAGTGAGCTTGTTTTGAGAAAATTTACTTATTGAACAAACAATAAGTAAACATCGATATCATATCGTACTGTGATGCTCGCTATTTTCAAAGTTTTATTGTTACTTCTAAAATCGATACATATCCAATTGTAAATATATTGTGAATTTTTTCTTCACCTATTTCCTGATGAAGCGTCATTGTTTAAAATCGTCATCTACTTCTTACTATTTTTCAATTTGTTTGCAACATGGTATTTTACGGGTATTTCCATACATATCACCAAAGTTTCTAGTTAAAAACACTGATATTTAGTGAGATACTACAGTTTTAAAAGGACTGGGAAAAATAGCTTCCCAGTTCATTACGCATTGGGTAAGATGGTTGGCATGAAGTCGAAACCATGACTTCTAACATACATCGCAATACCTGTTTAATACATGTGCATGTCACTATAATTCAAAATTATTAATTGGCCTCAATCGCTACTGGAAAAATAGAGGTCGTTGAAGCATTTAAAATTTGTGGTCGAAGAGACTCAATTTAAAAAAACAATTGTTTCAAGACTTTAAATCCTGAGAGCAAAAGAACCCCCCGTCTGAGATTCGTGCGCCATTTTGAAAGTGTTGAATAGTTTTTCCCTTCTTGATATTCATCCCGCATGAGAAGCTTCGAAATTTGATTTTCCTGATTCCGTGCAATAGTTTATGTACCTAAAGAATGACTAGCATGTGAATGCTCTTTGTCAGATTTTTATTATTATTATCTGCATTAGTGATGATTTATGACTTGGATTGATATACAGTTTGTATTTGTGAAATTGCTAATTGGTTTAACTAGCTGTTGCGGTAGCCAATGCCATACTCCTGTACTTTTGATTGATACGTTGTTTATCTCAATTTCTGTAGTTTCGTCTTTGTTGATTCTAATACAACTTGTGATGTGTAGCGTAATAATATGAGGCAACGTAACGCCGAAAAAGTATTCGTGGGGAGAGTATATTAGTCTGAACAAAGAAATAGAATAATTAACCAGTTAATCGTTCCAAGCATTTGTTGGGTGAGAGAAGCCGCAACCTATTTGTGGTCACGTAAGTATATAATGGTGGTATTCGATGGTAAGAGTATTCGTGTTGCGTTGGGCGCAGCAATAAACAAATAACCCAGTCGTTTCCAACCTTTTATGCCTCGTGACCCCGTCTGGAGGCTTTTAGCACTTATGACTCCCTTGTTTATAATTTTCCTAGTATTCGTAGTGTCAGATGCACCAATTTGGGTCAGCCAGTTGTTTATTTTTCACTAAAATGAAAATATACCCGATGCGAACAAATGCCTAAAAAAATAGAAAATATCATATCACGGTGACGGGTAACGCGAAAAGAACAAATGTTGGTTATCAAGCAGCAACACCCGTGATAAAAGTCTAACTTTGATACAGGTTGAATAGAAAGAAGTCGAACAATATATATAAATAAAATTGTTCACAAACCAAATCCGTTACATGAAAGAGACGACGACCACCAGCAAGTCGTTGAGAAAGATGCAATGGATTTATGTAAACGTGTTCCACCCTTCGATCCCAGAAATCTATTTGTTTCCATTCATCCAACAGTTGATTCTAACTTGAAATTGCATTTTTATTAACGATAAGGAAAACACTTGCTGAGCGGACTTGATAAAATAGTCCACATTGCAGGGCTTTTCATGTAGTTCTCGCACACCTATGCATGAACAGAGACTAACTTGTTTCCAAAGGAAAAAATATTAGAAAATAATCACAAACATTTTTAAACTTTACGTAGATACGCCACTGGTGGCGATCAACACACGTGAAATGCAAGCTGTAGCAAGGGTGAAGATAACTATTCACGTTAAGAAATATATTTCCGTTAGTATACCTGGCTCTTGATCCAGAAAATAAAAGTACGTTAAATTCACGCTCGTTACCTCGCACACGGGGTGTCTGTGTTACGATAAAAAGGTATTTCTAATAAAAGAAGGATACGAGGTTTGTTCCCCAAGAAACCTAATCGATAAATTAACATTCCAGCACGATATCTATCTACTTCGGAGGCATGATGGCATTTCATTTGGCCTCATTTTAACAAGCCATGCGGTTTTGCTGAAAAAGTCACGCATGTGTTTACTGTTAAGGTTCAACGCTGATATGCACAAGATGTTGAATCGAGCGATAACTGTTAATTTTTGACCAGGGGTATGGAACCATGCGGCCCGCGGTCGAAATGCTGCAGATTCAGATTCAGATATTTTATTTCGTCATGCATGAAACATTGTCAACAAAAAAACACACAATGTTTCGCAATCGACGAGGAGTCAGCGACAGATATATAGAAAGAATTGGGTTTAACACATACACTACTAAACAGCCTAGAAACAACAACAACAATAATAGATTATAAATAAAATACGGAAATATGAAGAGCCAAGAATAAATTTATGCGGCCCGCGAGAAGTGGCAATTTTGAATGGTTTGTAATCCGCGAAACGCGTTTTTATTAATTTAATCTGGTGCGCGCGAGTAATCTCAATCCCCTTGCGTTGTAAAGCATATACCCGAGTTCAACTTATTATCTATGCCTGTGACATTACAATGCCCTAACAGCTAGCATGTGCGAAGCGAACAACGCATGTCATGAGATCAATAACCCAACTTTTTGTGCAACTACTAAAAAGTCTGTTAAATAAAGGTGCGGCTCGTGGCGTCATATCTGGCCCTCCTGTATTAAAGATTGTCCATCCCTGCTTTAGACTATTCGGCTATTTTAATGTAACCATAAAACCTGTAGATCCCAATCAAACAGCGAATAATCTAATCAAACAGCGAATGATCTAATAAAACTGAATCAAACAGCGAAAGCGGTCTTGCAGTTTACCTCCCCATTCGAATGTATTTGCTTCAATTCATTTCTTATTATTCCCACGCGGTTTTCAACTTTCGATGATATACATTTCAATAGCATATTTAATTGTTTCTGGCTTTGTGGTTCAAGCCATTTCCAGTCATCTACCTTACTTGACGGCTTTAGTGTCGCGCTTAGCTATACGGGACACGCTTTTCTTTGTACTTATGGTTACCCTGTGTGGGTTCAATTAATTTCTGACGGTTTCGCAATACCAATAATTTTGTTCAAGTTTTTATGCATTCTCCCATGCCCATCTACGTTTGAAATAAACCTTTATTTGCAATGTGACAAAAGCCCAATTTCAATGGTCGTATCGTCAGTACACTGTTATTTTCCGAGAACTTTTCTCCATTTATTAATATATGTGTGTGTTTATTGTATGTATTTTTCCGGGTCGACAAACCAAATAAGACTCTCTTTCTCTCTGGAAAATTACCGCGAATCCTTTTCTTGATATTTAAATTGAACATAAAGTTTTCGCTATCTCTACTCTCACTGTTTGCTCTTGCTACAATTGGCCAGTTTACCGTTACAATGTGGGACTAATTAATAATTATTTTAAGTAGTAGGCCTATAACTCGATCTATGTGATCGCTAGCTTTTACTTCAAACTTTAAAGCGTCGGTAGTGTGTTACACTGTTATGCGTACCTCATGCGGTACCTTCAGACTCATTACTCAGTTTAAGCTCTGATAACAGGTAAAATAATGTTATGGGTGATACGTGCCTAAATGGAATATGAAAAAGCATTTTGGGAAATATAAATAGCAAAAACAACAAATTTCATATTTTTAATGATAAAGAAATATCAACGAAGGGTAACTGTGTCTCGTCAAATAAAACGTGAATATAACAAAATGCGGCGTATGGATAAGAATAAAGTACGTACAGGATGTCCAGAGTCTTTCCACAATTTAAATTTTGTTATGAAGTCATTTTTACTTTAATTTAATACATCTGTGAGGGCCAAAACAATATAATTTGCCCTTTGCAATTTGAAAAAATTCAAGACTCGGACACCCTATAAAATTATGAACATGACTCACCGACGACTCATCATCTTCGTATTTCAGCAAAATTCATTTTGTAGTTTCCCTGTATTATCCAAGTCGATGTGTCTCACTGCATCATATTATATTCCGATAAAACATGTCCTGTAATTCGTCGGTTTTTTTTTTTGTAAAAATGGAATAAGTCTGACTTAAATTAAGGTCGCTAAATACATAGATTTAAAAGTTATTGATATTTCTCCGGGGCGCTGGAAGTAAAAAAAATTACCAACGCCACAAGTGATCAGCGGTTTATAGATCTGAAGAAAATATTTAGTTATAAATTATAATCATTTTTCGATACTCCCGTAGTGTGTGTACCCGGTGAGGGTTAGGCCATAATTTTATTCCGATTTTTGGTTATATTACAAGTTTAGGGACTGTCTGTGTTCGCCAAGTGAATATACCCCGTCCATAGGTTACAGTCCCTTTACACAACTTGATGTAAAGTAGGCGAACAAAATTAGTTACCTCCATATTGGTATACACACTTCTGGAGCGCCCATTTTTCACCTTTCTAATTATTATTCATACCATACAAAGGCACCAAAAAAGCAACTACTTATCTGTAAAGTCTAGTATTTTTTAAAATACTATAATATTTTATGTCGGGCGTTTCAGCGCCAATTTATCACACTCAGGCGTAGGCAGGGATTTGAAGCCGAGGCCAATATTGTGAATACGCGATGACAACATCCCGGTAAAAAGGAACGACATTCTTACCAACCACGAAGATGTGGACGCGGACTTCATCAGTTATTGATTTGCATGAGAAATTCAAATAGACGATCTCCCTTATTTTTTTTATCTTCTCGATAGTTAATTGCATCACAACTTTGTATGATACACAATCGAGAGACCATGATTTACCACGTGAATAAGGATAGGATAGGATTTACATATTTATCCCGGGGGAGAGGAAAGCCGATAAGACGGCTTATCCATATGGCGAGCCACGGCCTATCGTCCGGTTACCATTTCAAGTCGGGTATGGGATTGGTTTTACTGTATTGTTTGTTTTCGGAAGCATGGACTTGGTGATGGAGGAAGCCGTAACCGACCAGCGGTTACGTGAACCACCCAACGACAGCGAGGAGTCCAGCAATCCTCTCGCACATAACCATCCCTGCATGGGATTCGAACCTGCGAACCCACGCAGAGTAGTTAGAGGTGCGGTGGCGAGCGTATTCCTAACGCTTAGCCCGTTGAGCCACACCGCCGCGCCGAAATTCAGCATCGGCATCCTTCTCATTGAACAAATATCGAAAATCTTATCTTGTGCTGTACGTACACGACGGCCCCGGGAATCATAAAGCAACAGCATGGTCTGGAAATGCCTTTATGACGTCATAAAATTTTATGACGTCATTGTTACATTATATTGTTATTTCGTTATTGGCAGTTGGCTTGCCAGTTCACGTTTATTTAATTTTTGAATTAATAAAACAAACAAAATTAAAACAAAAGACAAATAACAAACCTCCAATAAATTTCTTTCGATGGATTAATTTCTGCATCTAAATGCTACCACGTGCTTTCGCGAGCGCCAGAGTAAGGTGAATCCCCTTTCCAAAACTTAGTCTGAAATGACATAATGAGATAATAGGATAGGATTTCATATTTATCCCGGGGGAGAGGAAAGCCGATAAGACGGCTTAATCATATGGCGAACCACAGCCTCTCGTCCGGTTATCAGTCCAGGTCGGGTACCGTATGGGATTAGTTAGCCAGGTGTTTGTTTTTGGAAGCATGGACTTGATAGGCTATAACTTAACATGAGATAGCTTATTTGGATAACCAAGGCTGTTTTCAGAATTATTATGGCTGTATGAGTAGGCTCACCATATAAGTTATCTAGAACAAAAAAAACAGGACAGTGCGAATTGATCAAATCTTTGTTCGATTTCAAGACGTGGGGACAGATTGTCGGGACTTCACGGCCAAACCGAGACATATCAGTAATATGGTATGGTAAGCCTATGTATTAGTATTGCCCTGTATGAGAGGATGAAGATAATCAGAAAGATGGCAATAATGATCGAATTTCATCAATTGCAGAACTTAGTAGAGCTATTGTACTATGCTAGAGACAGCGCCGTACCTAACTAGGAGTCTAGGGTGGTATAGCCAGTCTGCGTACGATTTAATTCAAACCGCTATAAAACAAAAACCAATATTTTTAACCCGTTAGTTTTTTCACTGTAAGTGCATTGGCATTTATTCTACACGGTAAACCTCAAATCAACTTTCTACGACCAGGGGTTAAAGCTATACAAACCATCAAAGTACGACACTCGGAAGACGTATTTGCGACCGAACGACCAGTGTGCAACCACGGATTTCAAGCCGTGAACATCGTTTCTGCTGCGTCGAGACTAGAGCATACGCAGCCATGCGGGAAGAAATTGAGCTTCCAATTGCATTTCTGACCGTCATATATTTTGAGAACACGGTCATTTCGAACAAAACTAGTCAAATTATATACAAAGTACCGCATCACAGCAATCAAACAGACAAAAACACAGTGGTCGCAAATTGGTCGACAAAAATATTATTGCTGTATTGACGTATTGGAAATGCACACTCCCCTATTCCTTCTCCTTTAAATGTAAAAACGCGAAAATTGAAAGATGGTTAAAAGAAACACAACTCTATCCCCTTGTCAAGTTTCATCTTTTTATCTCTTATATTTGTATGGATTTTCAAGTTTTTTTTATAGGACAATGGGTAGTTGGCGACATGAAAAAATGGTCAGTTTTTTTTCTTCGGTCAGGTTTTCGGTCATAACTTTTTTGTTTGTGGCCGCATTTTAGTGTAATTTTGCAGAACTATGAGGGACAAGTAGATGATAACGCATGAAAAATATCATAACACATGAAAATATAATAGTAAATCGTAAATCATCCGATTCATTTTGTCTAGACCATGAAATCAATCTGACCAATGACAGGCGACGTGATAAGTAAATTACGGTAATCATTATAGTGCTCTCTCACAGTGATATACCTAATTGAGTAAGTTATAATCATGTAAGTAACCTGACCGAATGCGCCTCAGGTATATGGTTTCCATGGCACCTTTGATTACCTGGGTTTGCATGCTCGAATCCTTTGGGGGGGGGGGTAATTATGTATGCAAGGATCGCTGGATTCCTCGTCGATGTCCACCAAACAACTGGTTGGTTACAACTTCCTCCACCGTCAAGTCCATGCATCTGCCGACAAATAATTGGCTAACTAATCTCATACCAGCATACCCAATATGGACTAGTAACCGGACGAGAGGCCGTGATTCATCATATGGGGTCTCGTGTAGTTTTGTACTTAACGTACTTCTAGTGGGCGTAGCATAACAATTTTTGATATGTCAATCCTAACCCCCATCTGTGTTGACGTAATTTTTGGATGGTGTAGTCAGGAGGGATTGAAACGTGAAAAAAATGTCATGCTACACCCACTATAGGTATGTTAGGTACGAAACTACATGAGACCCATCATATGATTATACTGTCTTATCAGTTTTCCTTTCCTGTGGGATAAGTTTGAAAATCCTATCTTATATAGCAAGTATAGTAGCCTGAAATAATTCCTAATGTAAAAGTTATTCTGAATTTAACAATGCTATATACTTGCTTCTAAGTAATCTTTTTATCATATATAATCCATCCATTATGACAACAACTGTGAATGTGCCAGACTTCAAGAGTCTTCCAGACGTTAAGTTGCATCACCTGCCTTGCAATATTAAAACAAATGATGCCGCCAACATTTCAACGTTTTTTCAACCAACAATGAAAGAGACAAATGGAAAAGAAGGTTTGAATTGTTTTATGTATGATTGTAACTTTGCAACTTGTAAATTAGGCTCTGCAAGAGGAATACGATTGCCAATGCCCCTCCAAATGCCATCCGTTAGTTCGCAACTTCAAATCTCATGAGGGTATAGGGGGTAAATATGTACTAGTGGATTACTGGACTCCTCGCTGGCCTAGATGATTTATATATCAACTGGTTGTTTACGGCTTGACCATGAGTTCATAAACAAACCCCGTCTAAAGAAATCAAACTGACAACACAGTCAATATTTAAAAAAATTTATTTCTACAATATGGCCGAAGACGACATTCAATTTGTTAGTATTTACTACAACAAATAATTAAATATTTATCCGATAAGTTGCAGAATAAAATATTTGTCATTGTGATGCAAGATATTTAAACCACTCAAAAATATTTTGAAATTGATTTGCTATGGTTGGAATCTGGAATGTATTCAAATATCCAATTTGAGTAGTACATAAACAAAAACAATCTGAAAATTATTTATTTTCATCGAATTGATTGAAATTTAATTGTGAATTTATTTTAGTTCGATCTGCAACGTTCCGAGGTCGACCTCTTGATGGTGAGGTGATGGCGCCTCCTGATGGATATGTTGGTTTTGTAGTACGAGAAAAGCGAAAGCCTTTTTCTGAAGATGAGGTAATGTTTTTAGTGGAAGTAAAATAGTGTTTATATTTGTTATGTGGAAAGAGTCAAAAAGATGGCTTGATCATAGAACTGTATTTTCATATCTATCTTAGGGAAGAGTAAAGCGGATAGGACTGCTTAGTCATAGCCTATAGGATTGGATTTCTCTACTTATTGAGTGAAAGAAAAGTTTGAAAATACATCTCTGATTCCAGTGAAAACACGCCTGACTACTCCACAGCCAGGGGGAATTTTGTGCATCGAACCCCCCAACTTTTAAAATTTTAAACCATCTTGGTCTAAAATCTCTTGAAATCTCTTTTCAGACCCATTAGCTGTTAGAAATTTCAGCGATTAGAAATTTCAGACCCCCCCCCCCCCTTTTAAATTCCTGTCCACAGCCCACCTGGTTTTATGCAAATTATTCCATTTAGATAACTCAAGTCACTTGTCAATAACTCTAACTCCTCCGAGATTGGTTTTCACTATTTGAGTTCTATTTCTTTTATAATTCGACTCTGCGATAATAAACGAATTATAGTAGTTGTATAACCTCTTGGTGTGTCAAAATATAACACCATTTGAAAGATATTTGGGTTGTGTAAATCATCCTTACTTAATTTTCTTTCGCTAAAGACACGTTTAACTTTTTTAAGGATCGGACTCTCGACGTTGTCGGAAAATTTGACTCATTCACAAAATGGCATTTGGATTCAAAATACACAAGCGATTCAACGATCGATAAAGCTGTCTCAGTATGGCCTGCAATTGCCAAAGGGGTGAGAAGAGTAATTATTATAGTAGAAATGACTGATATCCTTGTGCAGGGTTCTTCAATTTGTGGTTCACATACCCCCAAGGTCCTGAGATCTCCAGGAGTATTTGGATGGTTGTTGATTTTTCCTGTGTTTATAGATTTCAAAATCTTTGGGAAATGTTTTCCGGTTTCAAACATTGCGTAAATTTTTATCCTGATCTCACATTGTTTTGATGCACCAAGCTATGAAATTGAGAAAAAATCAATTTTTTTTTGACCAGAGCACAAATATATTTAAAATTTGATGTACCAATATATAGTCCAGTATTGTCTGTTGATCTGTGTTTTGCATGAATATATCAAAATCCCATGTCATTTTCTATGATATTGAACTCTAAACAAGGGATGTGTGGGAGCTTGAGTATCTGGAACTCGTCAACTATTGCCGTGCCCGTACTCAAATGGTACTCAAATGGTTTGCCATTTGAGCCGCATTATTTACTATCCTATCCCTAAATATGGAAACTCTTATCTTAATGTAGGCTTTCTGATTATATTATTATCTCAAACTTCAGATTCACTCCCCGATTGAGCCACAGAGTTCAAAGGTCAAGTTAGAAGTCAAGGGTCAATGAAGATTTGAATTCGGTTTTTGTCGACAGAACCATGACGACAGTATCATTTCTCGAAAATGACTCGGTCAAGTGTTAAAAAACCTACATTTTATATGTTGACAGTCGCAAGTACTGAGTGAAGTTAAGATGGTGGTCACTGGACCATGATTCGGCAGCAATAACTGTCGCAAATTAAGATGGCATGATTCTGACCAGCCTCATTGTTTTATAGGAGTATTTTCCAACGATAAAATTCGTCAAGAGTTTGTTTTGTAAAGGCTCAAGGTGCCAAATGAAATACCAGGGTTGTATACAGGGATGTCCTAATCCAGGGGTTCTCAAACTTTTGGACATTTACAAAATTAGCTGGGTCAGTATTTTATTAAACTAATAGCTGGAGGAGCGTTTTCTCATGAGTATGAGTACATTGAGAACCTATTATTTTGTCTCATGATTTACGAAGCGTCACTCCAACCAAGATGAAAACAGCCAGTAATATGCAAGGAGCTGCTATTTTTGAAAATATTTGAATCTTTCCGACACTGACCACGCAATTTATTACTCCCTGTGGAATGTTCATTTTCAACATGTAACACATAGTTGCCCTTTTGCTATATATACAGGGTGTTAAAAAAATTAGGGTAAAAGTTTCGTCAGGGCAACGTTAAAAAAATAACTGTTTAAAAGGCGTCAGCTGTAAAATGTTTAAATGGCATTTTACCTTAATTCAATGCTGTTAGAATGTGTCAGTCAATAAATGTTTTGAGTAGCATTTCATCTTAACTTCTGTTAATTTTGCGTTACTTTTTAACACCCTGTATTAGCTGCAGTAAATCAGCGTCAATGTGTGGGTTGTTGAAATTTTATTTCCTAATCTGATTGGTTGCCAAGGGGAACGACTCAAGCGTTTTATGAAGGTTATCGACGCCCCTGACCTGTTTGCACATATATTAAGACGTTCATTTGATCTGAAATCGGGGGTCCTGACTGGTCGCTAGTACTTGGCAGGGACAGCTCTATCGTGTTTATCCCAACAAAAGACCTAGCCTGAATTTTAGAAATGTTTTTAGTACAAAGCAGTTATTTTTAAATAAAAGCATGTCATTTATATTATGATGAAATGGATATCGGTTTTCATACTTTGCATATTTGAAAATCTTGTAATTCTCTACTTTGTAATTTTTTTGTTGATACTTAAAATAAAAGACATGTCCCTAAAATAATCCCTAGTGGTAAATTTTGAAAGAAAATTGGAATAAGACCCAGTCTTATTTTCGGAGAAACACGGTAAGCAGTCAGGGTATTTGTCTTGGTGTTGTTTTGAATGCCCCACCAGTGGCGTATCTATGTAAAATGGTGCCCATGGCAAAGTCTAAAAATGTTCCTCCTTGATAGTTGTTAGACAATTTATAATGTTTATTATTGAATCGAGATACTTGCACGTTATTATTTGAGTGAAAATACGAGTTGCAGTTATTCCCAATTTCAAATTATTTCATTGAAACTTTTTATAATTAATACTTTTTGTCGTTTTTGCGACCCTGTTCAAACGGCGCCCATGGTACGAGTCATGGCTGCCACACCCTAGATACGCCACTGATATCACCTCTTGAGATTTGTTGGATTGTCAGAAAACAGTCATCCAGTTTTCCACAGTCTTTAGAATAATATTACTTTCTCCACGAACGACATGATCAATCAATCACTTAATTTTGCGAAATTGAAATAATATACCTTCCGGTGCGATTTTGTTTCTCGTAATATTTATTTGAATTTTATTCTGTGTTGAAAAATAAAGTTATGTCTAATAATATTGTTTGTTTGCGTGGGGTCATTGTGCAATGCCGAAGAAGGTCTTCAAACCTCCTGACTCACCTGTATACACTATGTACGAGCTTTGGCTACAACAACCTCGTATTAATACACGCAAACATGGTAAGGGGATAAGTTTACAGAGTGTAAAAATGAATTTATGTCTATTAATATTGTTTGTTTGTATGGGTTCATTAGGTAGCGCAGGAGAAGGTCACCAAAGTTCCTGACTCGTCTGAAAACACTACATACGAACTTTGGCTACACCAACCTCGTATTATTACACACAAAATAGAAAGGGGATGGGTATACCGAGTGGAAAAATAAATTTATTGTATGTCTATATTGTTTGTTTGTATGGGATCATCAGGCAGTTCCAAAAAAGGTCATCAAAGCCCCTGACTCGTCTGTGCACGCTAGGTACGAGCTTTGGCTACAACAGATTCGCGTATTTACACACGAACATGGAAAGGGGATAATTATTCTTATCTGACCCTGATGATATTAATTTGTCGGTAATGCAATACCTCAGGAATACAAAAAAATTGGGATCTTTTGTTCAAAGCCCCCTCCAAAAAAAACACTTCTGTCAACACTCAAGATAAGTAAATTAGTAATTATCTAATTAGGGTTAGTAGTGCAATCTGCAAATATTAATTAACACTAATCAGATGATTACTAATTTGTTTTCGAATCTCACATTTTTGCGTTAGTGGTGATGGCTCTGTATAAAAGATCAGAAATAGTTGAGGGCCATATGGTATTTCAAGCAAGACTCTTCGGCGCTCCCGAAGTATGTGCACCAAGATGGCGGACACCGGAATGTAGTATGTGTACCAGGTTAGAATATAATTTTATTCCATTTTTCCTCATTTTAGTTCTATTACGAGTTCGGGGACTAGCCAAGTGACTCCCAAAGTATTTGTACCTGAAATTATAGCCTAAACCTAACCTGGTACACATACTACGTTCCGGTATCCACCATCTTGGTGCACATACTAAATGACTACAGATTCTTCTAGAATCCATCAAGGAGAGTAATTTTCTACCAGTTACTCCGGAAGCATGTTCTTTTAAGGACTATAATTTTAAACCTCTCGGTATTATAGGTTTTGGGAAACCATGATAACTAAATCCTGGGCTAGGGAAATGAGCTAACTGTCATTCCCAAAAGTCATAGCCCACTCTTGCAAATTTCATCCCACATTGCACAAACAACACAAAATACCTTTTATATTTTTATTTGTGGTAAATATGAACTTGAGCGCAATAAAACCAAAAGCATAATACGAAGGCAACGTAAACAGAGGAACAACCCTTACCTGGTTAAGAATAGAAAAAAGAATAGATAAGTTCACAAAAGAATAATTGGGGGGGGGGTCTTATTCTCCACGCTGCTCCCAGGTCATGAGTCATAAGATACGAGTCGAGGGGGCAATTAACCAATTTATCAGGTTGAGTCACGAATGGTCTGAGTTTTGAGTTGTGTTTCACTGGCGGTTAGTAAAGTATGGGAAAATTCATTAATTTCATTAAGATGTCTGAGGTCACCTAGAGTCTATTATAATCGGTGATTTGATAATGTCACATTTTTATTGTGACTTCACCTCCTATGTCACAATTTTATAGTGACATCATCTTTTGTATTTCTATTGTGACACGATCTCACAATTGCAGAAACAAATATTTCCTATATATGCTTGAGTGGAATAACGACAAATAAAATGTGGGCTGGACCTATTTTATAAAGCAGGATCCTCAAATTTTAATTCCTGGTGGTCACGAAAAAAATCTAGTCGTGCCAAGTGAGTCGTGTTGGACATTGTATAGGGATGTAGACTTGTTGCTATAAGACATTTTTACAAACCCAAGAAAACAATTGACACAAAATTAGCATTGATAAAGTCCAGAAAAATTTAAACAAATAAATATAATAGCCCAACATGAAACACTCATTTTTAAATACTGATTATTTGAGAATGCTTGATACAGTAGTTTAATTTTAAACGAAGGCGATTTTAAACAATTCAAAAGCGATTGTTTCGGGCAATGGTTGATAAGCAACACAATTTTTGCAACAATTTTAATTAAAACGTTCAATTCCAATAACTTTACAAGAAATATTATGGTTTGAGAGTGAAGCAATACAGAAATATTTTTTCAAACAAGGGTAAAACAACAAGGCTGTGAGGTCTATTTCAATTATTGTGTCACAGAGTGTTAGTAGTCTTCATGAAGACAATTTCAAACCGTTTTGTTTGTATTCAAAGTGGATTGGGGCAAGGTAACACGATTTTTTGCAACAATTTCAAAGAAACTCTGTGTTCAATAACTGTGTAAGGAATTATATTTGTCCTAAGACAACAAGGCCGTAGGACCCATTTCAACAAGTATATCACAAAGTGTTGGTCTTCAGAAAGACCATTTTAAACTATTTTCAAGTATTCAAAGATATTGGGGCAATGGTTGCTAGGCAACACAATTTGTGCAACAATTTTGAAATCATCAATATGTTCACTTTGTGTTCAATAACTGTAAAAGGAATTATATCTGTCCCATGACAACAAGACTGTAAGTACATTTCAATTATTGTGTCACAAAGTGTTAGTCTTCGGGGAAGACAAATTTTCAAGTGTTTAAAGTGATTGGGGCAATGGTTGCTTGAAACACAATTTGTGCAACAATTTTGAAACAATCAATATGCCTACTTCGTTTTCAGTAACTGTATAAGAAATTATATTTGTCCCAAGACGACAGTTGCCAACTTTTCCGAAACTCAGTACAGTCCGAACAAACAATAGGTATTCAAAACGATTGGGGCAATGGTTACCAAGTAACACAATTTTTTGCAACAATTTTGAAATATTCAATATGCCTACTTCTTGTTTAATACCTGTATACCGAATTATATTCGTCCCAAGACGACAGTTGCCAACTTTTCCGAAACTCAGTACAGTCCGAACTAAACAATAGGTATTCAAAACGATTTGGGCAATGGTTACAGAGTAACACAATTTTTTGCAACAATTTTGAAATAGATAATATGCCTACTTCTTGTTTAATAACTGTATACAGAATTATATTTGTCCCAAGACGACAGTCGCCAACTTTTCCGAAACTCAGTAAAGATTCGCAAAGCCTGTTTAGGAACAGTAGAGAACTAAGCCTATAGTTTTATACAGGGTTCTGTAAAGTCAGTTGTAATAAGTACAGTCAATCAGTAACAAGAAAAGTTATTTTGCAACAATTAAGTAAAATAATCACTGTCTGCTACTATAGCGAGAATCAAGAAACATAATGAAACACGCAAAGTTCGAAAAAAAAAATATGTGCTTCACGTAGCATATTTAGAAACAGGTATATGTGGGAGGCACTCAAATTTATTTACTCCGCAAAAATTAGAAACTATTGGTTCATTAGGTAAAAGCAATTGTCGTCCTAGCAATTCAGTTATAAACTATCATCAGGTCAACTTTTGTCCAATACAAGTATGGGCGTTCTGAATACCTGATGATTCGAATTAAATTTTTGAATCAAATCGAATCTTGGATAATTGTAGGATATTCGATTTTATGTGACTGTTTTATTGTGATGGGTCCTCCAGGCACAAAAATACTAAAACAAGTAATCCATCACTAAGACAGTTCGGAGAGTTCACACATGTAAGAGATATGTTTCATCAATACCTCACTAAGAGTCATATGTCAAAATTGAAAATGAAAAAAACGGGGGAATTCACCCAAATTTTTAGCGCCAAATAAAAAACAAGATGGCAGCGTTTTGAATTTTTTTTTGACTGAGCCGATTCAAATGATTTGCCATTCGAAATGCCCAGCCCTAGTTCAATACAGGGGAACGAATGCCCCTTGTGATTTAAAACATGAAAAACTAACTTGAAACGCAAAAAATTTCAATTTCATGAGAACAGTCCAATTTGGATCATACCATAAAAAATGGGTAACAGGGATGGATCACAATTGAATGCAAATCAATTATGATGACTTATAAATTGGGAATTGTGGATAATTTGTATTTGGTCGTCCCAAAAAATATTGAAAAGAACAAATTGACGAGCCTGCTGGAAGATGTTCATACTTAATATAAGCCTGTTCATACTTTGTCAAACTAAGATTATTGATTTAATAGATAATAAGAGATAACATTTTAAGCAGTTTTTTTATGAAATATCAAATTTACAGAGATATTTGGGAGATAAATGGGTTAGTTTACAGAAATAACTGTATATCATATAATCAATCTTTGCGTAGATAAGAGATAACAGTTTGAATCGATAAGAGATAAAAAATTGTGAGCAGTTTTCCATGAAATAATCAACCTTGTCTGAGAAAGCATAAATCAGTTATATGGGATAGTTTGCCCCACTGATAAGATAAGAGATTGAATAGATAAGATAAATGTTCCAGCAGTCATTTTAGAATAATCAGATTACAGATAAAATAAGAAATAATTTGTTGACATTTTTGACAAAAAAAGATAAAATTTTGCAATGCTGAAAAAAAAGAGAAGAAAAATACTTACCATACATGTCAGGTTTTGCATATTTTTTTTCTGATTTTTCTATTTTTTTTTTTTATAATAAATTTTGGTAATAGTACCAGTTGTGAGGGAGTTTATTATATCGTGTGGTTCTCCAATTTTGGCCTGGGGGTCATGGGGTCAAATATTAAATTCAGTGGCCTAGTGCAGTGTTTCCCAACCTATGGGTCGCGACCCAAAACTGTGTCACCTGAAAATTTTCTTGATGATTGAATAAAAAAAATCATAAAAAGTCACTGATTTTATTATCTAATAAGTTTTCATTTAATATTGAAGAGTTGCTCAACATATAGTGTCCGTAAAGTCTTGAAATTTATCAAAATTGCAACAATAATTTATCGAAGTAAAAATACTTAAACAATTACTGATTTAAAAACAACAAACCTGGTTAAGATATATTGAGAACTGATTTCATAACGAAATTGAAATTGTGAATGGACTTCATGGAAGCTTTAAGTCGTAAAACAAAAAACCTGGCGGTATCTACTTTGCTAATTGAAGCCATGCCACGATTCAAAAACAAGCTAAGCCTTCCCCCTTCGAGGTAATTGAATAATTGCTGTGTGAAAATGATTGTTTTATATTTGCAATCTATTTTATTTTTCCAGTATTTGAGCATATCTAAAAATTTATTTTCCAAAAATTTGGGTCGCATGGATAAAGGTTGGGAGTCCTGTGTATAGATTGACAGTCCCCCATACGGTTCATAAAATTCGGTTGAAGTTTTTGCGTGAAAGAACTACTTTGGATATTCGAAGCTACAATATAATCAACCTTTCTGTCCATGGAAAAATGCTGAGTGATACGCCTTCATACAAAAAATAAAACTTCAGTCAAATAAAGAAGAGAATTACAATGGAGTCAAGGTAAAAAAAAAATTTCCACGTTAAAAGCGCCTCCCCCCCAATACAATTGTCACCAAAATGCAGACACAGAAATAAAAGGCAGTTTACAGATAGTTCAGTGGAAACCATATTGCTTTTTTTTTCGAGTCGAGGGGGAGGGGGGAGTAGAACTGCCCCTCATGGCATATCCACCAATAGCATATACTTTGAACAATTTGTCCAGCCACCATAAATAGTAGCATAGTCATCATCTTGGATTTCTGTTGTTATTTATAAAACTGTCATTTTTCTTCGCAGATGTGTTTTTTGTTGGAAAAACAACTTTAGTGGTTGCAAAGGTCTTTGATTGCCTGAAATCTTTGCGTCCTCCCTAGAAAATTAAATTTTATAATTAACAATTGTGTCGGTTTAATATCCTCATTAGTTACTGCAAAAAAGGTGAAGCGCTCCAGAAGTATGTGTACCAATATGGAGGTAACTAATAGTTTCGCCTATTTTACATCAAGTTTCATAAAGGGAATGAAACCTATGGGCAGGGGGTATATTTACTTGGCTAACACAGACAGTCCTGAACTCGTAATACAACTAAAATAAGGAAAATCAGAATTAAATTATGGCCTAACCCTAACCTAGTACACTACCATTTTATTCTAGTATTCACCTGATAGTGTTGTCTTCCATGATAGTCCTGCTGCTCAGATTTCCTCTCTGTCTTCGGACTTTGTTGGTGATGCAATCTCTGAAAGTTTGGACGTTGTTGGTTGGCGCCACCTAAAATAATTCATGAATATTGAACAAACTCATAATTTCAAGAAAGTGTACAATCAATATTTGTTACTCCTAATCTAGAAAACATTGGCGGGTTTTTTCGTAACTGATGTTGATGTTTCAAAAGATTAAATTTAGTTACCTGAGAATTGATTTGGAGGCACCTAAAATAACCCATAAATATCAGACAAACTCATATCAAGAAAGTGTACCATGAATATTTTTTATCCCAATTCACCGAAATTAGCAGTTCTTTTCGAACTAATGCTTACATTCTACAACTGTAATTTCACAGGACAGGAGAAATTTGTTGTTTTTAAAATATTAAATTAAGTTAACTAGGAATTTTCGATAACATTGAAATGAAATCACTGATGAGCAACTACTTTTGGAAGCACCTCATGGTATTTCGTCGGTATTTCGACGGTTAACATAAACATGGGTGTAGCAAGGAGGGTGGAAGATGGGAACCACACTTTTGAAATTTGAAAAACGAGCATTTTTCTGTATCATATATAACAATTTTTCATACTCCTGAAAACCAATTTGTTTGCATGCACCCTAAGGTTTTGTTATGGAATTTGATTTTATCAGAACTCAAGTTTGGAGAATGAATTTGGTGCCATCTGTAACAGACCTACAATCCTCTTATTTTGAATTTCAAATTTCCGCGGGCTGTTTTTATCCAGATTCAAGATTTATTTGATGGTCGCTAGAAAAACAGAAAATTTGCCAAACAGCTGTTCATTTTAAAAAAGAATAACTTTTACAATTTTTACGAAGGCATATGTTATATAGATATATAACAAAGAGAAATCAAATAGAACCTTGAAAGGTATCAACTTAAAACAACCCAGAACCTAAAATAAATGAAAAGTTTTGAAAAAAGAGAGTAAGCATGCATTTTATTCATGATTTCAGTTGACCTGCTTTTCTGTATTTCATATTTCATTATGCTATTTTTTAATTTATCACTGCACCTACCTTTATTAGTAGCAGAATGAGGTTTTTCAGTTGTTTTTAAATTCAATGCCTTTTCCTGTTTATTTTTGACGTTGCCATGGTTACTTGCATTGTTTTGATTCAAATTTTCACTGGAATCTGACGAGATGTTCTCTACGTTCCTCGTTTTTAATTGTTTGTGGTTTTTGAGGACCGGAGCGGAGTGGGAGGGCCGGATTGTTGATGATTGGTTCACTGACGGAACTTTGGGGGTTCGTGTCGGGGTCCCATTGGCCCCAGCTGGGTTGTCTTTTGTGCGTTCAGAACCGTCAATGTCCTGTGGAATAAAGAAATAAAGTTTCACATAAAATTATGTTTTAAATAAATTACAATGAGATTTAAGTATGATGGCAGTGGAAATTGTCATCAATCATCAGAAATTAATTTTAAAAAGGAGATTCGTGAGGGGAATCCTTGGGGGAAAAAAAGTTGATAAGAAGGTATATATCAGGCTATTGAGATGAAGTTTCTATCGCTATCCACTGGCATCCCCGTCATAGGGATGAGCCTATATAGCCCATAGCATGTCAGTAGGTTGGATCGCGACCGCTTCCAATTTCCACGACTCTTGTTCACATTCAAAATGCTTAACAGTTCAAAATACGCAAGTGTGCCACTTCTCTGAACCTATGTATTATAATCGTGAGATTTGTGTTTTCACTAGTTTTAATAAATGTGTTTCGAATCTAAAGTCTAAAAAAGTACAATAGTATAGTGAACTCTTTGCAACTCCTAAAATCTTTTGCACGACCCACTTTGGCAGCTCCAGTCTGTGTGTCTGAAACTGATAACTGGCTAACTAATCCTATACCCAACCTGGACTGGTATCCCGAACGAGAGACCATGGTTCGACATATAATTAGGCCGTTGTGTTGGCTTTCCTCTTCTCAGGAAAAATAAGCAAAACACAAATAACTCACCGATTCTATTGATGAAACTTCAGACGAGGAAATTGGAGACGATTCAATGGACGGATCAACGGAGGCAGGAACAACGTCTGAACCTAGGAAATGTAAGGATTATTTACAAAATTGATTGGATTCGGGGTGAAATCGCCTCATAAAAACCAGGGTGAATTTTCACGAAGTATAACCAGCATGGTGTCACAGGTTATGATGATAGCTTGACCAGTTATCCACGGAGGACAAGCGCTATCTAATATATTTCGCATCACGTTCAGAAATAAAAATATGATGAAATATATGGAATCTTAAGTGATTCAAGAGTCTTGCTGCACACTAACACAAATATATTTCTTCAATGTTTCGTCTGACCAAGGTCAGACTTTTTCGAACTATGTATGTCTGAAGAAGTCTGATCTTGGTCAGACGAAACGTTACAGAAATATATTTGTGTTAGTGTGCAGCAAGACTATTGAATCACTTAAGTTAGTTATCTTTACTCTTGCTACATCATCCTTGCACTGTGTGCATACGGATCCGCCGGCACAAAAGCATAGAAGAAGGATAAGTAGTTAGTCTCGCAGAAACCAAATCATTAGCACAAATATATGGAAGTTTCACTCCAATGGACCAGTACAGGGGTGGGATAAATCAAGTTTGATTTGTAAATTCGCCAACTAAAATGGATTTAAAACGCGGAAAAAATTAGACTCACCGCTGCTGCAACCAGAAGAACTCAGTGATGGACTCTGTATATTGGATGGACCTGGTTGAAAAGAGAGAGCATTGAAGCGTGAAGTATAAAGAACAAGGGCTCAAAATTTGCAAGATTATTGATAGCTGGTCAGGCGTGGAATATGATTTACAGGGCCAAATTTAAAATTGATTTGATGGACATGGCTGATCAAGGGAGAGATTAGTGAAGCATGGAATAAATAGTACAGGGTTCAAATTAGTGAAATTTTTGTGAATTAGTGAGACATGAAATACACAAAATACAGAGATCAAAATGAGAATCAATTACCACTTCAATGGGGCTGATTGATATGTAGTTGAGATCGTTGTGGATTAATGAAGCATGAAATACAAAGTACAGAGTCCAAAATTAGAACTAATTTGATGGGTCAGGTGACATTAAGTAGAGATTGTTATGTCCTGATGTGGCGCATCACGCTAAGCGCCACACCATGCTAGGTGCCACCTTGATTAAGTCATCTTATCGCATTTCCTCCCCCTGGGATAAATATATAAAATCCTATCTTGATGAGGTGTTAGAACTACAGGGCTCAAATTGAGAAGTTTGACATTGAACATTTCTCAACCAAGTGTATAAAAATACAGATCTTGAAATGATCACTTACTTCTTGCAATATTGTTACTCCAAGTTTTCTTGATCTCCTGACGATATTCGATAACTTCATCAGTAACTTTCAAAATACGACTCAGGGTGCTGAAATGAAAGATATTGAAGTTATTTTATAAGATAATTCGCTTAAAGCGAAGGCAATTTCTCAAAAGCATGAAAAAAACTCATCTCTGAGCAAATTTACAGACTACAATTATATTTATAGAATTATGTTGGTACATTACACACACTCTGCAGCACTCTCACACAAAAGTACAGGAAACTGTCAGATCCAAGTTATGAAGTGGTGCTGAAACTATTAAGCAGTGGTTCCTAACTGGGGGCCACAGAGTAGTTTGAGAAGGGCCACAATGCTGGGCGCAAAACTGATTTTACTTTTACTTTTACAAATACCCCCCCCCCCCCCCCGGTTTTTTTTCAATTGCTTGACAAGGTCATTTTACAGGGTGTTTTCACTTTGTTGAGCATGAATTGTTTGATCATAATGAGATGCGATTTGGCGATTTGGAATCTACCAATCATAATAACGCTGTGAATATCTCTGGAATGATAAACAGGACGGGCATGAGTGCTAAAAGCCTCCGGAAGGAGGCAACAAGCCATAAATGGCTTTGCTTTATACCAGGGCTACTCAACAGGCGGACCGTGGTCCGAATCCGACCCTTTCGACCGGACCGCACCTAATTCTTTATTTTGGATCATTAGCCCCACTTTTGAAGTTTCCTTTTATAAAATGATTTTTTGAGGTTGGGATATATATGAAAAGGACTATAACACCATAATAAACAATCTCGATTAGCTAAGACCGGACCGGACCCAATTAATTTTGAAGTTTTATATGCAGATCTCCGGTAAAAATAGTTGAGTGACCTGCTTTAAACTTATGATGACGTGTTACACATTACCAAGTACCGACAACAAATGTCTCTCACCTGTACATACAGTGCTTTGGATAATCCCTCGCCAGTACCGCTGTGTTAAGGACTCGGTACGCGTATTCGAACGCTTGTTTCACTTGCATCGCTCCATATGACCCTCGACCAAGGTCATTGCCTAAAGGGAAAGGAAGTTATATGAAAAATATGAATGTCAAGAATATTTTTTATAAATAAATACATCTATTTTATTCAAGAAGATAGGGTGAAACAAAACATCTTCGAGAACATCCAGATAAATACTTCACATTTACTTTACAACTAGCTAACAATTAAATCCTCCAAACCTACCTGGAGTCAAAGGGTCCTCTATGCATAAGATTGAAGGAGTTGAACCATTTTCCATTTGTTTGCGAATCTGAATAAATCAAGATAACATTGCTCAGATAAATGTCAAATGAAGTATTAGAATCACTCAAAATCGTCATACTTCTATGCTAAGTAATAAGTTGTGTGACAAGAAAAATCACAGCAATAAATACTCTGCTTATAATTGGCTGTACGTTTTGAGCCTTGCATTTACTGAATTACTAAAATTACTAGTGATATAGAAGTGAGCCTGCTTTCATTTGTATAATCATTTCGAACTCTGCTTCTATTAATCAAATGGTTCACCAATCATTAGGGTTAACAATAGAAAACAATATAATAAACCAGACTTTCAGTTCATTTTGGAATCTGATTGTATTAATCTTATGTTTCAATGATCACAAAGTTATTGCTATCAAATTTGAATCATTTCTATCTCTGTATTTTAATAATCTCATGGTTCACCGATCACAATCCAAAACCTACTTCATCCTTCCTGACATAAGATCCGCCATTTTTAACCCTGATCCCAGTATTCATGAAATTGAAAAACCTTCCATAGAGCTCGAAAAATTCGATCAATAGGACGCCAAGATTCGCATTCTTATAACGAGCGTCTTCCCGAGGGTGCATCTAGTGGTGAAATAGAAATTATTAAAAAATTGTTCATTTCCAAAATGTGTGCATCGTAAACCAATGTACCCACTCAGTCAAATCTCAATCCCAACACCTCATCCAGTGTGTAATAAATTGAGTAGGCAATGCTTGACCCAACCAGCTGGCCCTGTTCCACAATCCCCACCAAATTTTCGAAAATTGCAAAATTTGATAATAAATTTAGTTGAATTACCGTAGATGGTGGTAGCACAATTATCGATAATGCTGCTTTTTGCTACAGGGTGGCAATTTTCATTCTATTTATCGAAGTGAAATTATTTGTTTTTGCAGAGAGACTTTTTTGTTTTCTTGTAGTTTCTCTCTTATATGAAATTTTTGTGCAACGAAAATGGGCCATGAAAGAATAAAACGCCGGCTTAACCATGAGGATTCTGTCTTTCCAAATACTGTGAGTGAAAACGTGTGCAAAGCCTTTTTAATATTGCAGTGTTAAAGCACCTGTATATACTCGCTGAGAGTTATTCCAGTCAAAAAAAGTATTAGACCCTATAGATTAGTGCAGTGGTTCCCAACTGGGGGTGCGAGGCCCACCAAGAAAGTCCCAGAGCCACTGAAGGGGGGCCACCATGCCGGGCGTAAAACTGATTTTCCCTTTACGGGTTATCATCCTAGTTCCATTGATTGATAAAGTTATTTCACAGGGTGTTTTCACTTAGTTGAGCATGAATTGTTTGAACATAATGGGATTAGGAATCTACCAATCATAATAACACTATAAATACCACTGGAATGATAAACAGGGGGGCATGAGTGCTGAAAGCCTCCAGATGTCCATCCAAAGTAAGGTTCATGGCAAGTCAATGGAAAGAGTTTTAACAGAACAGTTGCAAGTAACCACTTACCATTGATTCAGAGCCCTAAACTAAAAAATGAAAAAGAATTTTTTGGCCCAACCTTAACCGGTACACATGCTACAAGAGGCCTTCAAATTGAGCAAAAAAATTAAGGAAACACAAACCTGTAGGAAACTGACACAGAGTAGAATCAGAGAATATGAGCTGATACCGCCGGTCCATACTTCGTTCAAATCTCGTTGCAGAAGAAATTGTTTTAAAACGAAAACTAACTTTGGAAGAGTAGGGTATTGGAAGATGTAGTCCTGTAAAAAAAAGGGGTTGGCATAAGAAGCAGATATTAGAAAAACATGGCCAGCACCAAATAATCTATTATTCCTAATACATTATGAAGTAATATACTTGAAAACATGAATATATGTAACAAGAGAGCTGTGCTCAAATATACGGACACGTTAACCAGAGCGAAGCAGTATTTACCTTTGACGCCATCGGCACCCACACAAAAATACCGAGTTTCGCGTAGAAATAACTTACAGAATCATACAGGATCAAATAATACAGCGAAATTTTAGTCGAAATATCAGATTTCATGCAAAATTTAGAAATAAATAAATGTAATAAATAGCTTTCTGGCAAAAAAATCAATCTTTACTCACTGAAAATTTCAAAGCAATTGGTCCAGTATTCGAAGAGAAAAGCGATTTTTTAAAAACGATGGAGACAAATAATAATAATAATAACAATAACAACAAAATTTTGAAACGATCGTTATGTCCACTAAACGTGTCCAACAATCATTGTATATTTATAGAGAACAGATTCTAGAAATTTAAAATTTTAAGCCTGCTTTTCTGAGGTATTATTCACAGAATAATATCAATTTCGAGATTTGCACAGTGTAATGATAAACTATATTCTTTGGTAAGACCCACTTTGCATTATCAAATCGACCATTGTCACATATAAAACACAAATATGTCCACAATACAGATACACCCAAATTAAGTCAAGAATATGATAATAGCAAAGAACACAGGAAACCATGCAAAAATATTGTATTACCAACATACATTTACTATCGATAATGAATATTTTGAAAATATTCAATAATTAGATTTGACATCTCTGGTAAATACTTTATCGGCTGTCAGCTTCCAATAGGCATTAAAAAAACGCTATCCCCACATCTTCAATAACACTATACATGTTCGAATCCTATGGGTAATAAGCAACTATAATAGGACATGGCCTGGCAAGAAGGCGAGAGGCCATGTTTTACTATATTATGATAAGGCCATCTTTTCAACTTTACTCCGCCCACAATAAATATGAAAAGCCAATCCTATGTACCTTTATCAATCGAACGCTCCTGACACCAGCCTCCATATTGAAACTGATATCAACCTTGACGTCTGTCTCAAGGTGACGGAGTTTAACAATCGGAACCTGGAATGAGAAAAATAATAGTGAATTGAGAGATATTTTCAAACTAGCAGTGCCTGCTGTAGTCTGATGTGAGTGCTCCATAAGTATGTGTACTAATATGGAGGTAATTGTTTTGTTTGTTTAATTACATCAAGTTGTGTAAAGGGACTGAAACCTATGGGCAGGGGTTATATTCACTTGACTAACACAGACAGTCCCTGAACTCGTAATTGAACTAAAATAAAGAAAGTCTGAATAAAAATAAGGATGCTGTAGCAAGAGTAAAGACGACTATCCTAAGAAATTCAAGATTCTTGCTACGCAATAACGGAACTTTATTTCAGTAACCTTTTGTCTGACCGAAGTCAGATTCCTCAGACAAATAAAATTAATGAGGACAATAAATCATAGGTTGTCAAAGTGCTCCATACAGAGCCCCAGGGCTCCGTGAGAGAAACCTAAAGACTCCACAAGCTATTAGTTTATCTTTTAAAATACCGATTTAGCTAATTTTGTAACTGCCCAAAGAAGCAATAACGATATTTATAAAATTTGACAAGCAGCAAATACATCCGAATCGTTAAATAATGTACTTTTAATTTACTCTAGGGCATTAAATGATACGTAACAATGTTTTTTTTAGTTTTATAAATTTATTGTGAGGCTCCGTAAATAATAATCACCGGAGCCATGGCATCTTTTTTCCCGGGCTCCATAACACCTAAAGTTTGAGAACCTATGTTCTAAATACAGTGGCGTAGCCAGGGGGGTGGTTTTTCGGGTCGACCCCCTCCCCCCCTTTTGAAATGTAAAAAAAATAAAATCATTTTCCTGTATCATACCTAGCAATTTTCCGTAGCTTGAAATGCTTCTTAAACCCTCAAGACTACTAAAAACAGGCGTATTCCAGCGTTCGATCGAACCCCGCAAACAGTTTCGGTCGGACTTGGCAAAAAAAAATTTCAGCCCCCCCCCCCCCCCTTTGGAAAATTTCTGGCTACGCCACTGTTTGAATCCCATAGAATAGCGACTTCTAAGCTTATTCCAGTATTCCCAACTACTTGGTAGCAGCCTCTCTAGAGCTCTGGTTGGAGAAAAGAAATGAAATTGCCTCATAAAATAAAACAGATCTCGAAATCAAATTTAGAAATCACTCACAGCAGCACGGTCCAATACTTTGATTGAGCTTTCCTCAGCAATACGTTTCTGCACAAGTTGTTTCTGAAGAGTCCACAATGGCAATTCTTCCCATTCACCAAACACTACCATGTCTATATCACTAAGAAAAGTAAGTGAGCAAAGCTTAAATTATTGGTTTCCAACCAGGGGTGGGCAAATTACAGCCTGCGGGCCATGGCCGTTGAAAATATTGATAGAAATAACGCCATAATGACCTCGATTGTTACATTGCGCTTCTGGTTATTTTATAAACGCTAGCCTAGCTGTCGGACTAGCTGTTGTAAATAAACTGCTTTTATTCATAGTTCATATTAAGTTTTGAGTCTCCCCGGCCCAGTAACCAAGTCTATTATCTGTAACTGACCCACTCAGAAAAGTAAGCACAAAGAAAATATAGGCTAATACTTTACTCTCTGCCAGGATTTTGAGACACTTCTCACCATTATTAATAAGAGTAAAACAACAATCACGGTTATCATTTCCATCAATTCTCTCCTGCAACTATTTGCTGTAATAGATGCGTACGTCGTGTTATGGTTTGCAGGATCAGCTTATATGCGAATTTTCATAAATGCATCATTTCAGGGCCAGTATTATGAGGTCAGGCTATGCAAGATCAGCTTAAATGCGAGGATATACAATAATTGTAATATTCTTATGTTCCTAGTCTTACCTCGTAGGCAGATACAATCCAGTCTTAAATGATCCAAACACATCAACTTTCGCTAAAGGCCAGAGTTCTAAGACAATTTCCTCCACTTCTCTGATAACATGTTCTCTCATCCTCTGTTCCTCGTCAGTAGGTTTCATGTACTGGTGGAATTCCTCGATCTCCTCGTGAAGTCTGAAAAAAAGAATTTTATCAGTGAGAAATAGAGTTCTCTTTGAGTCTGTACCAGTTTTGGAGGCTCAAGTTACTGTCTCAACTTGAATGTGTTGAGTCGTATAAATCAAGGTTTCACAAACTTTCACTTTTGGGCCGCGGACCCGTTTGTAAAGTTGTTTTTTGACACACCCCCATCCTATGCCGTATCAATTTCTGTGCCTAACCAATGAGGAAGGATAATGTTTTCTTCGACGAAATGAAAGTCTGAATCAATACATATTAGCTAGCATTGAATGCTGAAACCAATTTGATATTATTATGATCTATTCGTATATGTTTCTGGCTTATTTCATATCGCTGCGAACCCCTGCGCAATCATCATAAACCTTCAATGGTCTGCAGATCCCAGTTTGAGGAAACGAATGAAATGACTTGGACATGTACTCAGCTAACCACCTGTGAGATTCAACTCAAAGATTGTTTCCGGAGTAACCATAGAGCTCATACAAAAGCATCGTAATAAATGACAATAGAAAACTCACCCAACAACACCACTGGTGTACGACCTCTGTTTCCATGGCATTCCGCCACGATTGATAATCTCTCTCGAGTAATTCATACCGTACGTCGACGCTGGATTTTCCCGACGTTTTTTACCCCCATGTGGAGCGTAATTTCTCCCTCTTTGACCCATGTTAGGATTTTTCGGATTTTTTCTACCCCCATTCCTTCCCGGGGCTTCATTTTCCGAAAATGGAATGTAATCTGGTTGTCTTCCTCCCACCATATTGAAGCTGTTATGTAAAAGAAAATAGAAATTGAGAAAGTTATGAAAAGGAAAATGACCAAGACAAAAAAGGTTGAAATATTATGGAGAATCTTCTTCCTAACTTTGATTAAAAAAAGGGATTAAAACCACCTGTTTATTTTAAATTTTTTCATATAACAACTAGTTCGAAATTCGAGCACTTGCAATTGCTTGTTTTGAACCCTTGATTAGTTAGTGTATCGGTTATCATATCAGTATGCATCTTTGTCATTACCACCTTGTTTAAAAAAAATGCTGATTTCTAATGTTAGTAGGTGTCATGCTTGTAGACGTCAGGGTCATAGCGCAGGGATGAGCAAAAAAAATCGCCAAACAAAGTGTTCCATCTGGCCCACTTGTGTCTGCTAAAATTGTGACTGTAGTTTTTATGGGTATAAATTTCCATTGGAAATATAGATGAAAATAACTTCATAATGTCCCCGATTGTTACATTGTTCTTTCTTATTATTATATAAACGTTAGCCTAGCTGCTGTAAACAAACTGTTTTTATTCATAAATTTTTATATTGAGTTTTGAGCCTCCAGCCAAGTCTGTTATATGTACCTGGCCCACTCAAAAAAAGTAATAGCTCACCCCTGTCGTAAAGCGTTAGACCAGGGGTTCCCAAACCAGGGAGCTTGGGAAGCTTGGGAACTCCTGCGTTAGACTTAGCTATGTTGGAGTTATTACTTAAAGATCTCAAATTCAACCTCAATCTCAACCACATCCAGGCAGGCAACCTCACCCAAGTGTGATAATTTATGCCTAACCAGAAAGATTCTAATTCTTTCCAATAATATTAGCTTTATGCACTAACGTGGATGTTATCCAGAACATAGCTTAAACGTTGTAGGGCTTACAGTGAACTGCAAAAATTGCTGATATTTTGAAAACATCAACACTTAAAATGTCAGTGAGTGCGTTAAAGAGCCTCGCTCAGAGAATCAGTTATTCAATTACACATAATCTTTTTCAGCAGACAAAGTTAAACTCACCATGAATTGAAATTAAGCAGACAAAGTTAAACTCACCATGAATTGAAATTAGGTCCACAATTATTTATCACAGATAGAGGATGGCAGTTTGTTGGTTCAACAGTCAAGCACTTTAATCCCTGGAAAACAAGAAGAAATTTACATGAAAGAAGGAAGGATGGGTTCTATATTTAATCCGGAGGGGGGAAAGAGGGAAAAGCAGTTAGCCAGATCAATAGAAGAAGCATCGGGCTGACAGTTAAGATAGCTCTTGCCATTGCTTACCATACTGCACATAACTAGTGAACTCGTCAATACATACTACGACCTTTTAACAATGTACAAAATTTTGAATGAGGTGACTTTACTTAAAGAACTCAGCATATACAAAATAAACATACTTATATTAAAATGGTTAAATTTAGCTTGGGGCCTAGGGCAGCTGCATAGGTTGCAGTGGCAAGAGACCAGCCCTTGCCCGTGGGGTTCATGGTTTGGGGCCGAGCGTAAACACTGAAACAATCTCTTTTCACAAAATAGCAAATATTAGTAGTAAATATTTGTTAGTTTTCGTTAGATTCAGATCTAACTTCTTCAGACAAAATCGCAATCAAGCCATCTTCGTGGCGACGCCTGAATTTACAGTTCCATTAAACACAATATCCACTAAATCAGAGCTTCCCAAACTGGAGTTGCAACCCGGAAGGCGGCGGCATTGAATTTTAATAAGGGATGGCAAACCGTACACCAATTTCATACAAAGTACTATATTTATTGTACTTTTTTAGACTTTTGATTCAGAACACAATTATTAAAACTAGTGCAAAACACAAATCTCACAATGTCTAGAGAATACATAAGGTCGGAAAAAAGGCACGGTGCATATTTCAAACTTTTAAGCATTTTAAATGTAAAAGGGGTCGCAGAAAATTTAAAATATTGGAAAGTCCTGCACTAAATAATCACCTGCACGGTTTTCCACAATGTCATCCAAAGATCGGTCGCTGGTCCAAGTTGCTCAGGTTGAATCCAGGATATCCGAGGATCCATAGAACTTCAAAATATGTCGACCGTTAACGAAATACGAGCGAGTGAAGATATGAAGGAATTAGATAAAGAAGATAAAAGTTTGGTCCTATTTGTTGGAATACTTGAAATTTACTAAGATTGGGAATAGGTTGTGATAAAATAGTACAGTTACGTAAAATCTGGAAAGAATATTAAAAATGAAACTGTAAAATCTTCTTGTTATTGTTAAACAAATAGCCTATACTATTAAACAATTCAAACTGTACGAAAGCCAGTGTGCTATTTGCCCGAATCACAAGATAATGATGCATTAATAAAGCTGTAAAGGTTGAACAAATGACAGAAAAAGAGTTTTCATGCTTAGTAAGAATAAAGGGATCACTGCTCCATAACTATCTTTAATACTCTTTCAAATCATCCTTTTAACTTTTCTGCATTTCCAAAATCAAAGTCATTGAAGATATGTCTGTATGTTAACCCATATGACAGTATGTCCTTTATTGAACATCACCCATTCTAGAATTTATATGATACCATCCCGGTACCAGTATTCAGATATTCCAAACTTGTTAGAATGTTTTCAGGATAGTAAACCATTATATTCATTATAAGTCATTATATTCCAGTATTCTGGCTATTCCTGTTAGACTTGTCCTGACCTCATTATAAGTCTACTAATCCCAACAATCTGACAACATTTCCGGTACTGCTGTACTGGGAGCTTGGCAAGAGTGCCAACCGTCATATTCAATATTACTGATTGTATTATATTGCTGCTGCACAGCTAATTCAGTAATTACTGAATTATATGATCTTTTTCCCTTCAGAAACACTGGAACATGAAAATTCTATCCTCAAAACGGAAAACGCTTATAACTTAAGTTCATTTCAACTCCATAATCAGCACAGCAGACGATAAAACAATTGATAAAAAGCACTCTTAACGCGTTTTCAAATCATAATACTTACCGCAATAGGTACTGTAAAAGAAAACAGAACACTTCACTTACTACGGTATACTGGTACCTGTCACCACAAAACAATTAGATCAATTAACCACACGAGCTATCAATGAAAACGATTAAATCATTCTGACATTACTTAAAGCTATTAGACTAACACGAACGCCTAATTTCCTTTAGTGTTAACCTATCCCTGCCTGCATAATATCTAAATTTAGCTCAAGCGTCGTCATATTGCACGCACGGCTGCGTTGAAGTGTTTTTCAAATCGCTACTTCAATATGACCGCCGGCAATGAAGGCTGTAAGCCGTAAAAAGTAGTGTTAACTGCGCTATTTGAGCAAAAGATTGTTTTTGACACATGGAAAGCTCTTTAAAGGTATTTTTGTGTTTTTAGCGGTCTTGTGTAGCAAAACGAATCAAAAATTCCAAAATAACCGCACCATTCTACTTGAAACATGTACTCCAGTTTTGAGTGTTGAGTGCAAACTCAACAGCAATTTAACGCAGATTAAGGACGCTGAAACAAAAGTAAACAGCGGTTGTGCTTGTCATTTTATCGGCTTTCATCTACCTCAAGATAGATACGAAAGTTTTAACTGATAGCTGTACTAAAGGAAGCCTTAAGTCTTATCGTGAATCCTTTACTCAAAAATAAATAGTTCCATTCTAAAAGCACAAAGCGATACCGAAACAACGGCAATAATCTTAAAGCTGATAACGCACCGATGCTTTATTCTAATACGATAAACAACGTAGACTGGATCTCATAATATAAAAGCGTTTTACAACATAACTTCGTAATTTTCCGCGACAGGAATTTTCTCCTCACCCGTCGTGAATCGGGAGCCGAGTTTCAGGGACGGGGCTTTGAATAAACAAACACAAATTTAAAGCGCAACTCAATTCACATTCAAGCTACGCCGTGATTATTTGGCCTGTGTGTTGTCAATTTTTAAACATCAAAATTCATTCCTGGCGACAAACTCGGCAATACAAATTGAAATATGAATTCAAATAAATGATTGCCTTGCCTATTCTAGATCTCGTTATTCCTTTCATGCCATACACGGGAAGTCTCCGTTTATGTTATATGTTTGATCTTTATTGACACACCATTCGCTTTTGATACAGACAATAACAATCCGCCAGTTTTGATAGTTTATAATATATGCGTATTACAAGAACACTAAAGTACATTAAGAGTTTCGACGGCCCCTTTACGAATTCTGAAACATCTGACCGAACGTTGATCGCCTGCGAAATACGACGTTTAAACTTATTGCACAAGCCAGAAAGCGAATCGAACTACCGAAAATAGCCAGGTGCCTCACACATAACAAAAGGTATTCACAAGGACATTAACAAAAGGTGGCGCTTATTTATTCACTCACACTTACCTCAAAAACACCAACGAATCCACATTCAAGCTACACCCTGATTGTTTGTCTTGTGTATTGTCATTTTTTGAACATCGGAATGTAGCGAAAATGTGGGCTCACGTTGAAACACGGTGTAGTGTCGTATTTAGGATTGTTCGTCATTTAATTTTTTGATTGTGTTTATATATTTTGGGTTCGATTAGTTGTGGACAAGCACTATTTTCTGAACCAAGTTTCAAGAGTTTGGCGAAACTGCGGTCCCGACTATCTTTGTTTAACATTTGAAGAATGATTCATGTTCGTCTGACGTCTCACGTTGACCATTGTTGCTAGAATTATCGCTGATCGTAAATTAGAACGCAGAGATAGATTAAACTTTTATTTGCTAAGCTGTCATAATCCGGGTTCCACGGTAGTTTTATTGCTCGAAATTTTTATTAGATAATCCGCGTTCAACGACAATATAACTTCTCACCTGTCAAAACTTTGTGGATTCCGCCTTTCGACGAATATCTGAATGAGCCCACGATTAAATTAAGCCTATGCATTTGAAACGGCGCTCCAGAAGTATGTGTACCAATATGGAGGTAACTAATTTTGTTCGGCTTCTCTACATCGAGTTGTGTGAATAGACTCTGAAGGCTACAGGCACGGGGTATATTACATGGATAACACAGACAGTCACCGAACGGGTAATAAAACTAAAAATAAGGGAAAAAGGAATAAATTATGGCCTAACCCTAACCGGGTACACAATACATAATACGGGAGTGCATTTGAAACGAATACCTTGTCAAATTAAATTTTGAAATCTCACTCCACATACACAAATAAAAATGATTTATTCAGCATTCCCATCCACAATTTTATTCTTCCATTTTGGGAGTATAATTGTAAATTTTAGAAAGTTCTACCTCAAAATTTAGTCATTTAAAATTATGAATCTTGAAACATAATAGCGCGAAGTGAGGGAGTTGACATTGATGACCGTCCTGTCGTATCACTCCCTCCTGTCTATACCAAACTAATTCATTACTTAATATTTTTTTTATTATTACGATTTTATTTTGGTTGACGAAAAAAGGAAATTTCTCTTTCGTTCGAGTCATCTAATACTCAACATGAACGATAAATAACGCATCTGACATCTGGAAAATAACTAGTTACTTTAAATCTCTTTTGAAGTTATGGCAGCATTTCGTATTCTTGGAGTTAACCTTCCTTTTTGGAACGGCGACTGCTTGGTAATGTACCAGGTCGCCTTGAAGTACCTTTGCTTTTTTATTTTATTCATTAAATAACATATTTTGTTCGACCCTATGTATTTATCACGTTTTGTTGAACTTTCCCACAAGTCCGCCCGATAACCAATTTTGGTTTTTGTCGTCTCCTCAATCAATCAATCAATCATTTATTTTGGTTCTCTGACATAAACAACACAAAAAGTAAACAGGCAAAACAAAATGCAGCGATACCTGGGAGACGGGCATAACTTAAAAAAAGTTAAAAAGCGTACAATGTACGTGCCCGCCCACCAAAAAATAATAAAACAAACACAGAAAAACGCGATTTACAATCGGGCAGTAATTTGGAAGCAATTTTACGAAAACAGCAAATTGCAGTAAATAATTGAATGAAATAAACTTATACATTTTAATTTAAAATGTGAGACGTGTATGTGTAACACAACAGTGCTTTTCCTACAAAAACATGGAACAAAAAACACTCCCTGACGTAAAATGGTGATGCTATAGGCCTAGTTCAATTTCATTGCAAAAACAACACTGTGACAAAAAATTGTTACTAAAAAACAAGCTTGGTAAATAGATGGAATGTTCCATAGCAGTCTATGCACAAATCATGGATTGGGGTATTGGGTTCTTTTGTCGTTTTCGATTAGTTCAATTTAAAATCATTGTATCCGTTCCAATGCTTCCAACATTAATATCGAATTTCCACGAACGACCATCATTCAGCCATTCCAACAGGTGCAATGGTCCCATCTTTTCTGCGCTCCGTTCCATCATCCACAACCAGTTTCATAGAAGGATCGTAACCTCGCAATATACCCGTAACAGATTGCCCACCATTTAACTTTAAATCCAATCCAATCCTTTCGCCTGAAATGCGTTTTCTTATATTTCCTTTTAATTTGTGTATGTATAGTTCGTATTTTCAGTATGATGAAGAAATAAATTACTGATTACTACTCGTTACTGAACGAAACCCAAAATTAGAAAGCGCAACAAAGTACATAGGATGGACCAGCGGTTACGCGGATCATTCTGCGAGTGTCTCGCTACTCTCTCCGCATAATTTACTGTTTTCAATATATTCATTTCGTTGTACATGTAACTCTTCTTAACGTTACTTGGTGAATTACGTTTTATTACCGAACTAAATTTATGCTGATCGTTAAATCGTCTCACCTGCTTCGCCGAAGAATTGAAGAGCCCATGCGTTTAAAACGAAAATTCCAATACAATTCCTAAACACGACTGAACTAGTAACCTAACTAAGAGAATTTCACATGATCAAGACCCATTACCGCTTTCTCTCTACTTGTAGGATATGAAACTATAGTTTAATTTCTGTAATAATTATTTGAATTTAACCCTGTATTACGTCTTACACTGCGTAAGATGAACTTATTTGGAATATGACGCACGCATATTGCGACTCGTTGACGCAAAAAAAACGTGCAAGACTGCGTTCGTTAGTTCATGTATGGCCGTTGATGTACAACAAAATCAGAGCAATTACGCATACCGGTAATTATGATTGCGGCGTAATCTGCCGTTGTTTCGAATGTCGTTCAATTAATCTTATAGTCATTATATCGCGGTGGTTCTCAACGTTTTTTTCAAGCGACCCAAATTTGAAAAAAAAATCAATTTTGTAAAATCTTGTGACCTAAGAATATGTTCACATACTAAACGGCATGCAGTACTTTTATGATCGCAAAATTAAATGACTAATATGAAACAATCATTTTTACATAACATTTATTAGTGCTCCCGTAGTATGTGTACCAAGATGGCGCACAACCTGAAAATAGTATGTGTACCTGGTGAGGGTAATCAGGTAGAGTACACATACTACGGGAGAGCCCATTTATTTCCCCAGGATTTACTTAAAAGTAAGAAGTTACGCTTGTTTGCCATCAGCGAGTTTATGAAATCATGTCGTGGCTTCACTCGTGCAGACTAAACACTGCCAAGTTTTTACGCCGTAATACTTCCCACATATACAATTACTACTGAGCAACACTTCAATTAATATATGATGATTTCAGAATTGAATCGAATATTTTTTCAAATCAAATCGAATTTTGAATACTACGAAGATTGCCGGTTTTATTGTAACGGGTCCTCCAGACACATAATTAGTGAAAACACATAATCTATCACTAAGAACCCAGGGGTCGGCAACCTACGGCCCGCGACGCTTCACTGAATTTTAGTAACAATTATAGCTGATTTGTCGATTAGATTCTTTACGCAAAAGAAATTTACGTGTAGACTAAAGTATATTATACCGTAACAAGTATATAATTCACAATTACTCGTTTAATGAGCCTATTAATTTAATTATAATTCAGACAAATGGCAACAAAACGCAGAAAAGTTGATGCTAAGTGCAAAATGGTTTAATGACGCAAAAAATATTCAATTGGACCAGTCTTCGCGCGCTGTTTAAAATTTAACTTCTGATCTGTGTGATAAAATGTGATTCGTCGGTCATCTATTCGATTTTTAACTTTCTAAAAATATGTGCGGCCTGCCAATGACTTGCAACCTTTAATTTTGGCCCGCGAGCGACAAAAGGTTGCCGACCCCTGACTTAGACATTCATCTCGACCTTCCATGGAAAAAATAAAATGGCGGCAATTCAAAATTCTTGTCTAAACCAATTCGAATAACTCACTATTCCTTATAACTAAGTCTTGGAAAAACACTGTTTCAAGAATCTCTGAATACCCTAATGGTAAGAAAACAAAGCTTTATTACAAAACGGAACAGTATATTCATTCATTCAAACTGCACAATGATAAACTACAAAACACACACAAAAAACTGCTTCTTTTGCTGAATTCAAGGAATAATTTCGGTCCACATATACGAGTATATATAAAGTAGTCTATATCAGGGCTACTCAACTATTTTACCAAAGATCACATACAAAATTTTCAAAATTATTGGGGTCAGGTCTTTCATGAAATTATATTTCGGCATCCTCAAACACGCACTTCCTCGGCCAGCTAATGGTTATAAGCAAGTCAAGATTGTTTATTATGGTGTTGCAGTTCTTTTCATATATATATTCAAAACTATAAAAGTTATTTTATAAAAGGAAACTTAAAAGTGGGGCTAATGATCCAAATAAAGAATTAGGTGCGGGTGTGAACGATCCAAGAATCCACAACCCATATGATTAAATAAATATGTTGGAGCTATATTTCATTTCTGCCGGCCTAAGACCTAGTTCTGAGGGAAATGTTAAAAATATAAAATGTACATCAATGATTGGTAATGTTTCAACGAGTATTGATCGATATGATTTGAACTATTTTTTGGCAAGCAAAGACTACTAAGCATCAGGAATCATCATTTTGTAATAATATATTGAGTGGGCGACGCAGGAGTGGACAGGTAATTGGATAAGTTACCCTATGATTAAGAAAATAAGACCTAGCCTGAATTTTAAAAATAATTTTAATATAGCTCTTAAGACTTATTTGATAACATGGAACTTTTTGACTTGTTTATAACAAGATATTTCTCCTACACGTTTCAAATGATTAATAATCTATGTTTAGCAGTTATTTTAAATAAAACGTGTTATTTATAAGTAAATGGATATCGGTTTTCAAATTTTGTATATTTGAAAAACTCACAATGCACACCTTTGTAATTTGTTTTTGATAAATTATAATAAAATGCATCTCCAAAATAAAGCCCTAGTGTTTTTTTTCCAAAGGAATCGGGAAAACACGGTATCTTATCGTCTTTATGCTCCTCTTAAATAAATACGATCAAAATCATGAAAAAGTAATGACTATGTGATGAATTTGGATTGTTTTTATGATTTGACGCATAGGCAAGTTGAATGTTCAAAGTAGGTTTTTAAATTCAAATTTATCTCTTTCTGAGGTTATTTGAAAGCACCATTTGGACGTAGTAAGAATATTTACTGTGAGAAACTGAAATTTACGATTCGAACTTCTGGATAAAATGTCACAGAATTAATGAAGAAAAAAAATAACACAACAGAATGAATGAACTACAAAAATATATATAACATCTCTACTATACTATGCTACTTTATATAAACAACACAATAATAATACAAACATAAAGAGGCCAAGTGTGCGGCGTTTTTGAATGAACCATGTTGGCAACTCATGTTACGAATCTTGGGTTCAAATTCCACGCTCCCCAACTCCCACAAGTGTAATGAATTGTGCAGAGCAGGGCTTCCAGAACTTATAAGCTCGTGGTCCCTTCCAATATGTTAACACTGTTACCCCCATTCATGTTTGAAATGCTGAACAGTTCGAAATATGCAAGCGCGCCGCTGCTCTAATCCTATATATTCTCTTGAAATCGTGAGATTTAGGTTTTGCAGTAGTTTTATTTATTGTGTTTCGAATGAAAAGTCTAAAAAAATACAACACATGTAGTAGTTTGTGTGAAATTGGTGTACACTTTGCGACCCATAAAATTCATTGCGCTACCCCCAGTTTGGAAACCCCCCAGCCTTGGTGAAGGCAAAGAATCGGAAAGATCTCCCATAAAAAGGCAAAATATTCTGTAAATGTCAGTGGCTCTTGTACTGAGTAAAAACGCAACATAAAAGGAACTGCAAACTACAAGAATATATAACATTTCTACATAATATGCTACGATATAATACCGAAACCATGAAAAATATCAAGTATTGTGTAATTTTAAATAAACAAAAATTGCTGAATTGAGCTGAATTTTAACTCTCTCATGTAAGGTAAGGTTGAAGAGTCAAAACAGCAATTTCCGTTCCAATAAAATAACCAACACGCATGTATAAATTTACGCAAATTTTTTTCCCGGTGGTTTCACACATGTCCTCTTAAATTTCCTCTGCTAGAGAGCGGAACTGGTTTTCTGTTTTGAACTGTTTTCCTAGACATTGGTTTGTTGTTTTGTGACATCACTTTGTTATTGTTTTGTGTATTGTTAAGTCTTTGTGATGTCACTCTTGTGTTTGTCTGTGATGTCACATTGGTTGTTTGTGACATCACTTTTTTGGTTGGCGACTTAACAGAAGATTTGGGTTTTGATTGTGATGTGATACTTGACATTGATGTAGTAGGTTTTCTTCCTTGTTGTGATGTCATAGATCTTGATTGTGATGCAACAGGGGATTTGGACTTTGATTCTGCTGTCCCACTGGAGGTTGGAGATGACACTTTCTTACCTTGTTTCACAGGTTTAGCTTGTGTTGTCACATGAGATTTTGCCTTATTTTGTGAAGTCACAATTGGTTTCTGATTCTTGCTTTGTGATGTAACTTTGGGCATTATAGTAGACTTCTTCTCAGGTAGTTTCACAGGCTCTGTTTTCCAAATATGAGAAATTTTGCTTTTAATCTGGAAAATGGAAAAAAATTTGCTGAGAAACTTTTTTTTTGATTTTTATTGATTAATTTGAATAGGATAGAATTTTCCTATTTATCCTCACAGAGAGGAAAAAATTAATAATATGGCAAACCATGGCCTCGCCTGGTTACAAGTCCATTTCCGTATGAGAATACTTAAGCAGTTACTTGTTTTAGTCTAAGACTTCTTTTGGGGGAGTGTGTGACAAACTACTTTAAGTTTCTTGGTCTGCTGGATCTGTATGTGTCACAGGCATGTTGTGAATAAGATGGAGTTGAGAGGATGCTTTTCAGTATGGTTTTTCCCTGACCCTTCGCCCAGGAAATATTCTACATGTACCTTACTATTGCAAAATTTTGGATGCTTATTTTGACGCTTACAAACTGATGTACATGCTCAAAACTATTATTTTTATTGAATTACACAACCATGTGCCGCTAATAGGAACTGATAGCTAATTTTAGCTTAGTCTATCACAGCTGCTCCGGGACTAATTTTTGATTATTGCAACTAAAATAAATCTTATTGGAGGAAATGATGATATTTAAAATGCAACAAATATTCAAAAACACCACAGAAAGCTGACATATAACACGAAAACTAAGCACTTTTTGTCTGAGCAGCTGCAAAAATTATAATTGTTACGTCATTGTTGACTTTTTGCTGATTGGTCATTGTTATGGAAATAAACAAGGAAATTGATGCCCAGGAAAACATCGAAATGAAGTCTGGATCATGTTATTTCACATGCAATATCTGAACGATACCACAGGATAACAGAATTTCATATATGGCAGCTTTAATGGTGCCAGATCTCTCATACCCACTTCTTTATGATGAGTCTTTACATGGTTGGCAACAGGATGGGATGAGCCATCAGAATTCGAACTGGAAAATAGAAATAAGAAAAATTAAAAACATTTTTTTTGGATAATATTGTATGAGTATGAAACTTTGGAAAACTGTTGGTTCGTTCAAAAACTAAGCAAACTCACCTGAGCAATCTTTTCCTTTCTAGAGATTTCTGCGTAGCAATCGATAACTGGTTGGGCTTGTGATTTTTCTGTGAAATAAATTTTCAAATTAAGTTTTTCAGAAAAATTTCTTTTGGATGTTGCTGCTCGAAAACAGCTTTGGTTCCCTGCAACGTCCCTTCCCCAGTAAAACTGTGTAATCATAATTTTCTCTTAATTCGTGCTCGAGTGATTTTTTTAGTGGATAAAAAAATAATCCCGACCTTTTTGTTTGCTGGTGTTTCAAAATGAAGTTTTTTAGTAGTGAAAAAAAGCTTGAAGATCATTGTACAACGAAACAGTATTTGGTTGTTGGTGCGTCATATTAAAAAAAAGAAGATGCTTTGTTTATACTGATTGGCCGGTTACCAGTCCATGTCAAGTATGGAATCAGTCAGCCAGTTATTAGTTATAGATGCATGGAATTGACAGTGTAGAAAACAGCTATATGACGGCAGATACCCGGACATAGTTTTTACATTACCCTTGGAAGAAGAAAGTTGATAAGACGGCTTAATCATATGGCAAACCACTGCCTTTCGTCCGGTTACCTGTCCAGGTCGGGTATGGGATTAGTTAGCCAGATATCTGTTTTCCGAAGTATGGACTTGATGGTAGAGGAAGCCATAACCGACCAGCAGTCACTTAAACCCCCTGCGGCGATGATGAATCCAGCGATCCTCTCGCACATATTTGTCCCCGCATGGGATTTGAACCTTCAAACCCATAAGGGTATTCAATGACTTTTTTTTCAGAAACTCATTAGTCCCCACACCCTCTCAAAATCACCCCGTCTTTCCATTCCCCCGGATAATATGAAAAATCCTATCATACTACTTATACTCTTTATTACCTTTTCAGCAGATCTTGCGAGAAGACATGACTGTGCAATGATGTACATTCTCTCCTTCGTAGAAACGTTGAAAAATATGTTATGTAGCTGATAAATAGCTGAACGTAGCTGAAAAAATAGGAGAGAAACTTAAAGCTTGGGCTGTAGGCATTTCCCAAAATGTCAGAACCCCCCTTTGAAAGATAAAAAACAGCATTTTTCTGTATCAGACATAGCAATTCTTTTAAAACACCTTTTTAAACCCTCAAGAGCCAAGACTCACGAGAAGATTCCAGGGGTACTTGGATGACAGTCGATTTTCTTATGTTGCTTTTTTAATATCCTTTAACAAAGAAACTACAAGAGGAAAATATGTGCCAATTGAAACTCAGCGAACATTTTCCCTGATCTTGCGTTGTTGTGATTGTGAAGCAACAATGTAAAATGCACGGCTTGGCCGTCGTTGCAGCAAATTGTTAGTCAATGTATCACAATTTAGTTTGGTGTCTAATTACTGGGGATTCGCGTTGATTGTTTCGTGACTCTGGGGGTACTTAACAGAGAAAAGGTTAAGGACCCTGAACTAGGCAATTAAAAAATTTCATAACCACCCTTTTGAAAATTCCTGGTTACAAAAACTTTAAGTCTTGATGGTCTGAAATATGTTTCAAGCTGTGAAAAATTGTCATGTATGATACAAGAAAATTCCAGTGTAAAAATAAATTGGAGCCCTCAGCCCTCAATAAATTGTTCCTACCTAGATATAAAGCCTGCTAGCTTTTGGCGGAATTAATATTTGAAATTATTCCTACCTGGATATTAAGTCGACTAGCTTTTGGCGGAATAAATATTTGAAATTATTCCTACCTGGATATTAAGTCAACTAGCTTTTGGCGGAATAAATATTTGAAATTATTCCTACCTGGATATTAAGTCAACTAGCTTTTGGCAGAATAAACATTTGAAATTATTCCTACCTGGTTATATAGTCTGTTTTCCAGATATTCATCTCTGACAGGGTTCATGCCATTTTCAGTCTTCCCTTCACTTTCAGTACTTTCCTTCTTTTCATTGCTTTCTTCCATTCTGAGTGAGAGAATCAGTCTGCTCGTATCCTGAAAATAACAAGACAGAAATACTTAAATATACGGACACAAACGCACATATTGGTAGCAGTATAGTAAGGACTCAGTTAGGCACGGAGTTGGCTGAAAAATGGAAAAGCATGGTGGAAAAGCATGAAGAAATAAATTGTTCCCATATATCATAAAAAATGTTCCCATGAGTTAGAATAACAACAAAAGCTATCTCCTTGCAAGTAATCGACCCAAATATGGCTGTGGAACTGGGAAGCGTTTTTATTGATATTTGAGTTATAACTGGCGTATTTTTTCAATGGTCGGAGTCGAAGTACTGAATTCTTCCTTCTCTGAATAAACAAAAAACATCATTTTTTTCAGAATCTGGAGTCAACTGCTCAATGACATCTAGTGGTGAAAATTGCTATTGGCCCCCAGAGAACCGCTTTGCCTGAGAGTCCGGTCGTTAGGGGTCGAAATTCATAAGCCAGAGAGTTTTTCAGTCGCTCAGAATCCGGAGACAAATACGAGTTTACTCGAGAATGACATCAAGGGGTGGTATTTGCTATTGGCTCCCAGAATACTGCTCCATTGCCCATTGAGAGACAGAGTGCCCAGTTCGAAAAACCTTAACGGGAAGCAGAAAATTTACTTACCCTTATGATTTGCAATATTTCTTGCACTTTGTTCGATCCGAGTAATTGTCGAGTTAAATGTCCTTTACATAAGGCTGACAACTTGCAGAATTTATCATGGAGAGTTGGTGTCACCTGGAACATGAAATAAAACAGAGTTAGAGAAAATTGAAGAGTTGGATCAAATGCATTTAAAACGGGATAGGAAGGATGGGAATTACATATTTATCCCCGCGGAAGAGAAAGAAGACGACCTGATCATATGGCGAACCACAGCCTCTCAGATGCACGCAGTCGTAACTAACCAGCGGTTACAGCAATCCTCCCGCACATAATTATCCCCTATGTGAGCGAAACCTGCGAACCCACACATGGTAATCAGAAGTGCTGTGGCAAGCGTATTCCAAATACTTAACCCAATGCGCCACACCGCCGAGCCTAACTTTAACTACATAGAACTATGGTGGCCCAAAAACATCAAGTCGTTTGAAAAAATGTCAACACACAAACAACCAATACACTTTACACTCAAAATATACATCTCCACCCTACCTGTACTTCTGAAAATCTTGTGAAGTTAGCATCATTCTGGTATTCTATGGCATCATAATGATTGAATCTTTCCGAAACAACACTGGGATCTTCAGAATAATATTGAGTGGGGTATTCCCCAGCAGCTGATGTGGCATGAGGTTCATAAGGTGTCTGGACTTCAATATTTGATCTAGGTTGGAGCCTGAGGGAACAAAGATTTTGATATTGTTACAAAGAGCACAAATCCAGTGCCATGTCCGCCACCCAACCTGTTAAGCCAACCGTGTTGGCAGGGTTAAAAATTTTGATTCAAATCCAATGTTTGCCCCTTCACCCAAGATGTAATGAATTATCAGGGGCATAGCCATAAAGCTATCCAGCCGAAGGCCAGAAATTATGACTTTTCAGAGTCTTGAAGGGTCTAAAAAGCATGGTGGGCTACAAAAAATTGCTAAGATACAGAAAAATGCCTTTTTTTTACATTTCAAAAAAAAGGGGGAGGGGGGTGGTTCGACCATCGACCCCCCCTGTGAATTAGGTAGGCAATGGCGAACAAAGAGATATGGCATTTCCAAGGTGCCGCAAGGTAAAAGCCAGAATGACGTAATTAAAAAATCACATGTCCAATCACGACCTCTCACCTCCCTCACGCCCCCAGTCACCGGTCCATGTTGGGTATGGGAACATTTAACCATCTATTTTTTGAAGATAACTGACCTTATTTCTTTGTATTCCGTTGAAGCTAGACTTGGTGATACAGTGACATCGTGTGGTTGGTATGGTTTGCTCACGACACCTTCTAGCGGTAGAGACATATCCTTAGGTTTTTGTATAATCTCCTGCAAAGAATACGTAAATATTTGAAATTATCCAGAGGGTGCGAGTATATGATGGGGAGTCACCGATAAGACACCCTAATGGTTCTTAAACCTTTATTATCCGCGCCCTCATTGGAAACGTAACAAAAAAACATAGCAATTTTTTGTGGCTTTTTATAGACTCTTGAAAACCAACGCTTCCCACAGGCAGTTACGGTTTATCTTAGCAATAAGAAAATTTAAAACCCTCCCTTTGAAAATTCCTGTCTACGCCTTGCTACTAACTCTTCTGGTACTATCTAAAGCTATCCTGCAACTATTCCAGTAAGCTATCAATATACAGCGTGCAGGAATAAACCTGATCCTTTGGGCTGCTATTGACACAATGTACACATCTACTTGTCATACACAGCTGGTGATTTAGGTATCAATAAATATATGACACTGAAAATTCTACAAAATTTTAAATGAATACCATTGCTTCTCAATTTATTACACCCTGGTCAATATGAAAGGCACAGGATTTGAACCTGACACTTTTAATCTGTGATTTTCCATGACCAGCCTTCTGAACGAGTCTCTGTACAATAGGTACTAGATAAGAGGTTGCTGTAAGAATATTCCTGATTCGGCATTGCCTTCGTTATTACTACGCTTGAAAATTCTGCTTTCCTTATTTGTTTAATCTTTATTAACTGAACATAAGCTAGTGTTACACACAACTTGCTTTCTTATTTTTTTTCAATATTGTGTAAATATGTTCACAACAATTATGAATAAGTAAAGAATATTAAACATACTACATCAAATACAGAGCTAAATTCCCTCCTAAAACAAAGACATTCCTCCCCTGGTTGTGAAACCCTGCACAAGAGAGACTAACGTTTCACACAGTCTTGCTATGCAATAACCAAATGACTGGAATAAAATTTAATCTCCTAAACACTACATATTTTCTAATCCTCTATTTTATTGGCAGAATAATTACCCTTGAAAGCTTATAATAATCCCATGCAATTAGGGTGAAACATTCTGCAATTCCTAATCCTGGATTAAACTTATGTTTGAAGGTCTTTGCCAGGATAAATACATGCTACAGCGATTAGATAAGTGTGATTCGTTGTGTCAGTGGTTCCCGACCTTTTATGGCTCGTGGGCCCCATTAACTGGGGGCTTTTATCCCTCATGCCCCCCTGTTTATCATTCGAGTGGTATTTATAGTGTTATTTTGATTGGTAGATTCCATATTCCATTATGTCCAAACAATTCATGCTCAACAAAATGAAAACACCTTATGAAGGAACTTTATCAAGCAATGAAACTGGAAAGAACAAGGAGTTTTCTTGTAAAGTGAAAAGAAAAATCAGTTTTGCGCCTAGCATTGTGGCCCCCAAATTCTCTATGGCCCATTGGGAGGGCCACAGGCCCCCGCTTGGGCTGTAGACTGCTATGTACAGTCAAACGACTCCACATTCAAGTAATTTGATAGGAGAGAAAAACAGTGAGAACAACTATCGGGTTGAAAAAAGAAAATAAATAATTCTAATTTTTCCCTAAATTATGAAGCATTCACCTTCTGTATGTTCATCAATTGCTCCTGATGTTTCCGTTTCATTTCGTTCATTTGTTGTTTGTGTTGGTCTTGGAGAACTCGACACAAGTTGGCGACATGGAGTTCTGTAAGGGCAAGGCGGAGAAAACAGGAAAATTTTTTGAAAGAATTCATTCAAAGCAACCACTAGGCCAGGGTCGACCAGTGACTACAGGTTAATGAAAAAACAAACAAAACCTCACTCTGAAATTATAAGAACAACTAAAATATAAAGATACAGTAAAGTCAAAAGTTTTTATCACACATAGATATTTTGAGTATGGCACTGCTTTTATCCAACAAGTTTATCAATATTCGATGTGTTGGACGACGTAGCGCGCTGTCATATATTGAGGTCATGAAAACTGCCTCTTCTAGCTTCACAGAAAAGAGGTTCCGATATTGGCTCAGATTTGTGAAAAACATCGGGCCGCGGCCATACCGCGCGGGCCACTCGAAACTCTTCGGCAAGCCACATGTGGCCCACAAGCCACGGTTTGGATGACACTGCACCAGGCCATTACAAGTTACCTGCTTTGCTGACATTTCCTTTCATGACTTTTGACCTTTGCCCTTTGACACTGATTGAACTTTCCTCAGAATCAGAAGGAAGATCCAACTTCCTCTTTACGTCTCCTGTACTTGTTGTCATCGTCTCGGAGCAGAAATCGTTATCAAAATTATCTGGTGCGATCCTGTTAGAAGAAAAGGATAGGATTTACCCAAGAAAAAAAAAAGATGATCAGGTTTGACCACCGTTTGAAAACCACTGTCTGAGACGATTGTATTTCGTTTTCGACCCGAAGTCCTGCAACAAATATTACAAAAAAAAAATAGGGCTGGATAATCGAAGTTATTATTTTTTCTCAAAATATTAGGATAGGAGGAAAATATTTATTCCGAGTTAAAGGGCCGATAAGACAGCATAATCATATGGCAACCCCCAACCTTTCATCCGGTTACCAGTTCATGTCGGGTATGGGATTAGTCAGCCAGTTGTTTGTTTTCAGGGACATGGACTTTTATTCCAACTTAATGGCAATGGAGCGCAATCTGTTCTATTTACTCACATCAGATTCTCTTTATTCTTAACCAAGTAAGGTGATGGCTCCTCTAGTGTGTAAGATCCTCGCCTGACGCGTTGTTGGAGCATCATTTTCCTTTTAGCTACAGCTATTTCATCCAAGGGTGCGTTGCTGTCGATCTCTGAAGGAAAAAATGATTTGAAAAATTTCTCTTCCATCATCTGCGTTTTCACCCTATCACCGGGAACAGGGCTCTGCGTAGGCACACAGTGATATCAGCCTCTCCTGAGTGAGTGCATATTTCCCCACCACCACAACTCCATAGAATTCATAAAGTAGATCTGAGCATTTCAGTGGTCGCATACTTTGCTCAAAGATGAGTCTTCATTACTTCTGAGCGAATGTATGTGACCTTGGATTGGTCACTTTTTTCTCCAAAAGCCACTTAATTGATTATTCGAATATATAACAACAAAGAAATTATTACAAAAAGGAATCCCACCAAGAACAGGCCCCACAGCATCAAGGGAATGCTTATTCATCATTTCTTCATCTTTATTTCCATGAAAATGCTGACTAACTGCTTCAATAACCGCAGACTCGAATTCAGGCGATGGCTGGTCGAGCGTGAAGGAGAGACTTCTTTTAATCGAAATGAGAGAACCTAAAGAGAAAATATTTTCTGTCAACAATGGACGTTAGGACTAACTATGTTGGCAACGAAGGCAGGAATTTAAAATTTTTTAATTGCGGAGCCGTAACAGCTGACCGGTCAGTCCGAAGTTGATTAAAGCTATGTATGATACGTGCACTGGTATACAGCAATACATGAAAGGTTCGTGAGGACTCGGAATTCAACAACAGTATCCTCTTACCAGTCTCCATTGTTGGATCACAATTTTCCTTCATTGTTTCATCATCTATAGTCATTGTGACATCACTAACAGTATCTGACATCACAGGTTTTAAAACTGTGAGGCCATCTGTAATTGTGACATCATCATCACAATTATGTTGCGCTTCACTGATCGTTTCCTCAGCAACTGGACATGCTTCAATGATTGTAGATTTGTAACAAAATTCACCTTGTAACTCAACGATTTCATTATGATTGGTAATTTCAGTCTCGTTTGGCAAAATTGGGGAGGAATCGATTTTAATTTTGTTAGAATAGTTCGGAGTTTCTGAACCCCCATCTGAAATTTGCTCTCTAACTCCATCTAGTGGATAATTTACTTTTGTTGACGTACTTTGATTGTGCAGTTCGAAAAATTGTGAATCAGTCACACTCAGAGGACTGATTTCGGGTTTTTCAGAAATTTTTGTGATTTTGGGGGTTTCCCATGATGAAATTTCATCGCTAATATCTTTGGGAAGTGAATTGTCTGTTTTTTCAACTCTGGGGATGATTTTTTTATTTTGTTTTATGAGGTCATTAAGTTGATTGTTGAGAAATAATATACTATCATTGTCAACATCACAAATATCATTGTTTGGTGATAATGGTTTCATAGAATTCTCATTGTCTAATTGATTTTTTGCACCTATCAAAGCTGTTTGAACAATGGACTCAACCAAGATGTCTTCTTGACTCAAATTTTCAGATTCTGGGACAAAATTTGAGTTGTTTTGGGTTGCCTCTTCGGTTTTACGTACATTCGAGGCAAAATCGGGGGTATTTTTGTCATTTTGCTCATTTCGGCTCAAAATTTTGTCTTCTTTTGTCTTCATTTCTACGACTGTATTCTCAGTGATGTCAGCGTCACTTTCTGAGCTGGATTTGGTAGATGTTGCTGATTCTAGAAAAAATAATATGAATGAATAACCGAGAATTTTGACTGTTGACAATATAAGACCTTCAAGCCCAAAAAAAAAACTTGAGAAATACTGTAAATACAGTTTAGTTTCTATATTCTTTACTGACATGAGATAAAGTATTTAGTTGATGATGGGAACACCTCAAAGTTGTACTAAAAAAACTTGTGCCCTTAGTAGTCCACTGTATCGTCATCTCCATGTCTTTGTTGCAGCCCCAGTGACTACTAGTAACAATATGACTTTATGCTAATACTGTACTTCAGGTTAAGTCAGTTTGAAATTCAAAAATTTGCTCAGATGTAACAAAAGTAATCGAAAAATGGGTAAAACGTTTAATTTTGATTTTCGAACTCCTGTAACTTTTTATTGAAATACTTGATAATAATAATATTGAATACTGCTTCAAACAATGATGAAAAACCAATTTAAATAGCATTTCTTCAAATAGTTTCAAATTTTAGATTTAAATTTCAACATTCCTCTTTTTGTCCTAAAACACTTCAAATATACTTCAAATCTTCTTCACTGGCAGTATATTAACAATGAATCTATACATAGCCCTTAACTTGAATCTTGTAATAATACTCTTTCCACTTTGAGTTGAACTTAACTCGTTGAGAAATTATTGATATTAAACACTCAAGTAATTGCTTGTTGAAGCCTTGTTTAGAGAAAAGGTTCTAAAGCTAAACTGAAAATAGAAACATTTTGGATGCAAAGTGTAATGAACTATCAAAAATCAATTATTAATATTGGATTGTTTGTTTAGTTTTTAAAGCACGAAATGTCAAAAACGAATCGAATATTCGAATACATTCAATTTTGGTTATATTCAATTTAAAAAAAAATTGAATTCACGCATAATTTTGAACATATTTATTCAAAAATTGAGAATTTTAGGCCGTCAAATGTCTTTTTAGATGGGATCAACATGGAGATATAGTGATTTATGTGATTTTCCATATGAATATGCCCCCGATTTACAATCTATTTAATATTTCATATTTTTTGCACGTTTTTATAAAGTTTTTGGTGGTTTTTCAGTGTTTTTGCAACTGTTTGGGTGGTTTTTCTTTCAGAATGTATTCGGAATAGTGAAATATTCGATTTCGGCCGTCTCTGCAGAACCAAGCTCCATAATGGTTCATAATGAAAATAAGATACAAACCTTGCTCAATATTTTCCACTTCATCCCTCTTACTTTGGGAAGGAGAATTTACTATTCCACTCTGACTGAGATTCATGGATTTCTGCAGTAAATTTCGTAGGCTGGAACGATATGCTGCATTGTCATCGGAACTAGCTACATCATCACTGTCGCTATGGTGATCGCTGGTATTTTCTGAATCTTCTGTATCATTGTAGTTATGGTGATTAGTAATGTTATTTTCATGACTTTTATTTTGTTCAGTGATGTCACAATATGAAAGGTTTTGTTTGTGTGTGATGTCATCTTCACTTTGCATTGTTTCATCATCACTGCATTGTTTGTCATGACTACTACTGATGACATCACTCACATTTTGAAGATCTCTGTTACTATTAGTATCGGTAGCATTATCCAACTGTTTGCAGTGATCCTGTGGGATTTCGATGGGTTGTACTGAGATGGTATGTGATTCCTTGATTGGTAATTGGATAAGAGGCTTCTTATTTTTCATTGGACTGACCTGCATAAAAAGGAAAGGTCATACTCAATATTTTAAATTCTTGACTTTAGGGATAATTTAGAATAGTTTTATCAGAAAAATTTGAACAGATACGCGATTCGGCAGAATGCCTCTTTCAAGACTTGTTATTTTTTATTGGGCTGCGGTCATAAGAGCACAATTTCATGCAATGTTTTTACATTCCTCTCACTCTAAACAAGGCTAACACTCTATTTAAGTAAAATCAGCTTATTCAACATAATTTCTGAGTTGTATAGCAAAACCAGGCTTCAATATGATTGGGCCAACAGCACCGTATTTCACGGAGCATAAGGCAAACTGCTAAAAAAATGCTCAGATTGGATTTTACATTGATGCCTAATAAGGCACATTGGACTACAAGTCGCAACGATTATTGAGAAGTTGAAGTTGGAAGTTTGTTTATAAAACAATATTACTGGTACTGGTTTCGACTGTAGGCAGTAAAGCATAAAGCACTGAGAAGCAATTTGAGAAAAAAAGAGGATTTAAAGTGCGCTCAATGGTCCGCAAATATGGTATATTTCTATTTGAAAATATGTGAAAAACACACACCTCAACACTTGACAGAATTGCTTCGACTCTCGATATCAAACGTTGTTTTTCTTTCTCTTTGCGTCGTTGTTCACGCTCTACTGCTTTCATTTTATAAACTTTCATCTCAGTCCGCGATGAGGAACACAGCTAGAAAAAATAAAGATGAAAGGCTAAATAATGATATTGGACCTATTACCAGACATTCACAAAGATTTCACTTTCAATTTTTAAATCACATTTGTGGCACTTCATAACCTCAAACAAATAACTGGCTAACTAACCCCATACCCGACATTGACTAATAATCGGACGAGAAGCCATGGTTTACCATATGATCAGCTTTTTTCTCCCTGGGATAAATATGTAAATCCTATCCCATATTGATATATATATATATGAGATAAGTGAAATTAGATACTAATAACTTTTAAAAAGAATCGGATGAAAATAAAAATTATTTTCTCACCAAAGGAGGCAAAATCGCTTGCTTGTGAAAAACGAAGGCCGACTTTGATTGACTCAGAGATGACATCGAGTGGCAACTACAAGACGAATTCCAGCTTCCCGTCGTTGATGATGAATTACCGCTCCTATCAAGACTGGTGCTGCTTGCATCCTGAAAAACATTTAATATTAAAAAAATGCTTTGGAAATTGTATTTCAATAGAGCTTGATAGCGAATCTACATAAGCAGGGCTGTTCTACTGGAGTCGTACTCCTGAATTCACGAAGGGTTGTGGCCAAAAATTTTTTAAAGAGGGGAAGGGTGAAATTCCTAATTGCCAAGTTAGACTGAAACAGTCAAGCGGGTTTTTAAGAGTTTTGAGGGTCTAAAATGCGTTTGGTCTAAAATGCATTTCAAGCTATGTGGGCCTGTGCTACAGAAAAATGTTATTTATCATTTCAAAAGGGGGGGCTGCTAAATTCTCCGGAGTTGGGTGTCGAATTTCAGAGTACCAATCATGATTAAAAATAAAATTTCCTGGAATTATGATTAAATAGAGTTAATTAGTAATTGAGGCACATATCTAGAGCTGTTAGGTCTGGTTTGTTTTCTTTGAGTCGGAGTCATATTTTTGAACAGCCCTGGGTTTGATTCAGAGTCGTTGCCAGGGTGAGAACCCCCTACTTTTGAAATGTGAAAAAAGCATTTTCCGTAGTACTTTTTTGTGGCTTGAAATACTTTTTAGATCTTCAAGACTCGGATAAGCAACTGATACCGTCCAACTTGGCAATTGGACATTTGAGAACTCCCATCGTTTCTTTGAAAATTTCTGGTCTGATTTACTCAGTGTCAGAAGCCTGAATTTTATTTTCAATCATGAGGAAAAAAAGAAAATATATTCAACATAAAATTCTTGTTTTTCGGAATAAATTTCATAGAATAGTTTTATTTAAAAACATGGCATTGTTTAAATTTAATCATGCGTACCCTGAGTGATTCCAAACTATTCCTCAGAACAAAACTACGGGGCGTCGTCTCAGGAGGAGGCATCAAAAATTCTTCCAGTAATTTATCCATTTCATCCTCCATGTTTTGTCCAACTTTGTTATCATTGGACATATTTTTTCCAAATTTTGAATTATCCATATTGTCAGCCAAGTTGTACTCAGATACTACATCCATACCATCCTCCATTTTTTGTCCAACTTCAGTCGCCATGTCGGACCTGACTGAAGCAGTTTGTTGATAGGAAACCATATTATCAAGATAAACTACATTTCAAACTAAATTTGAAAATTAATTATTATATCAATCATAAAACAACTGTTTCTGTATTATTCTGTTGATAAGCACCCCCTTTGTGAACTGCTGTGTTAAAGCAGTGGCGTATTTAGGGTGTGGCAGCCATGGCTCGTGCCACGGGCGATGTTTGAACAGGGGTGCCAAAACCGCAAAAAGTATTGATCATAAAAAGTTTTCAAAAAATATTATCAAATTGGGAATAACTGCAACTCGTATTTTCACTCAAATAATAGAATACAAGTATCTCAATTCAATAATAGTCATTATAAATTGTTAAACAACTATCAAGGGGGTGGATTTTTAGACTTTGCCGTGGGCGCCATTTTATGTAGATATGCCACTGGTTGTCAACCATTCTTTCCAAGAGCTGGAGAGACCTAATTTGAAAATATTGATTTTGTTAAATTTCGCAACCCAAAGATATGCTCAAATACTAAACGTGTGAGCAAATTTAAATGAATATAAAATACAATCAATTTTATATAATATTTATTTCCCCTAGAAATTATTTCAAAGTGAAAAAACTACGCGTTCTAGCACTTGCATGTTTTTGCAATTGACGCATGGCTTTACATAAGCAAAATAAATGTTTTTACGCAGTGATACATCTCTTACATGTAATTATCATTGAGCAATGCTTCAATACTAATAATAGCATAAGCAATAAAATTCACTATAAATGAAATTAGTAACTGTTAGTTTTTGCAAGTAACCCACGAGAATTTTCAGGCAAACCAGTTCAGGCAAACCACTTTGGCGTTTCAACGAAATCCCTTTAACTATCGAACGCATAAATAAACGCTAATAACGATCTGAAATAATGATCGCAATTCATATTTTGAGAAAAAATGTGCTAGAACAATTGTTCCCAAAGTGGTGTCCGTGATCGCTTTGGGAAATGACTAACAGAGAAGGAATCCCGCTTTGCGCTTTGATGCGAAATAGGCTATCACTACCGGTACCGGTACCAGACTATTGCTGTATTGAACCTGTCTCCATTGAAATGTTATCATTAGAGGGGTAAACAACGTGAATAATTGATTAAACTGACTTTCCAAAGACGCAATACTGCAATAAGCGAATGCTTACAGTACTATCATGTTATGGTCCCACTATCCAAGCAGCATGGTAATTAGAGGCGAGGTAGGAGAGTATCTCCAACGCTTAGCGTGATGCCCCACACAGCAAAGAGCCGAGACGAGTTACTCACGAGACCTCCCCAGCAATGAACCCCAGCCACCCCATCAATGTGGGCCTATCTTGCGGATCTTACACTTTGGCGTTTCAACGAAATCCCTTTAACTATCGAACGCATAAATAAACGCTGATAACGATCTGAATGCTAACTGCACCGCCCATTTTCCAAACTGCCGCCTTTGCACGTTGCTTCCGAACAACCGTTGGAATACAAAACAAATACAACGAGAGGTTACTTCAGGTCGGTTTTCTGTTGAGTAAACGGGCATTTTGTGGGAAAAACTTTAGCGCGAAAATAAAAAGATTTTTTAAATTCTCATTTGAGTCGATCGATTGATCATCTATTTTCGCTTCCCTGCCACGAAACATGGCGACACTTGGCACAAAAAAATGAAAACAAGTCAGCAAGGTGTAGAGAAAACGAAGAGGGCGAGCATAGTCTAAAAACCAACTTTTTTTTCCCCACAACAATAAAAAGAAGTGTGTGGCGCATCGTGCTGAGCGCTCGGAATACGCTCCGCACCTCTGATTACCCTGCGTGGGTTCGCAGGTACGAATCCGTGGGGTAAATTATGTGCGAGAGGATTGCTGGACTCCTCTCCACCGGTCGGTAACGGCTTTCCCTATCATCAAGTCCATGCATTTGAAAAACAATTAACTGGCTTAAATAATCCCATACCCGTCGTGGACTGGTAACCGGACAAGATGAGCTTTTCGACCCCCAAACGATCCATATCTACATTTCGTGTCTAATGAGCTCAAAAATTTCCCCAGGATCTCAAGTTTCACAAGTATAAATTGCTGATGAACGTCATTGTTCTATCCAGGCCCATGTCTCAACATGTTAAGTCTAAATTAAAAAATCGTTGTTGAACAAACTCTTTATCGTTGATGAAATGTCGGCTTGTCATGTTTATTTTACATCTATCGTGACGGACTCTATACTCGGCAATTCTCTAACCCTGACATTGACAGATTACGACCCGCGGGCCAAATCCGGTCCGTTGGATGATTTGGATTTATGTTTTCAACTATTCTATATGCGCTACATAGTTGTTGTTATTGAAATCGCAGACTGTGTACCCAACTTTGATCGATTAAATTTAGGTTTGGCACGAAGCTTATTGTTTTCCAATTTTGCATTCATAACACTGTAAATAAAATTCTGTTCATAAAATGTAACTTTTATGTCACACTTACATGGCCCGCCAGTCAAGATGGGTAAATTTTTTGACCCCCGGTCCAAAATCCTTGCCCACCGCTGTTCTAACCTGTTTATGTGTATCACTTAGCTATCTGTGTTCTTCGCCAACTGGCATTTACGTCAGCCAGAAATGTGTTTTTTGCTATGGTGGATCAAGATTTTTCGTCCGTTCACCGATAGATGAAGCAATTAGTCATCGTCTCTGACGATTCATATCATCACTATTCAATCTTAACAACTGGAGCTTATGCTGAGATTAGGATTTACATGAGTACCTTTAGTCCTTTACAATCTACTAGAGAAGTGGTTCATAACCTTCGTGAACCTGCTTAACCTACAGGACTACGTTACTCTGCAAGCTTTCGTCGAATCCTAGCGTTTTGAACAGTTAAAACGGGGGTGGTGTGTTGCGTTGTGTCTGTACTTATACTCAAATGAACTATTTTGTATAACGTGGCGTTCACGCAAATATTGAGCTTGAATACCCGAGGTTTTTCATAACAACCTTCGATATTTTGAAGCAATATGCATAAAGCATTTAAAACGCTGTCATAAATAAAGAAGTGCACTCGGTACAGCTGTAACGATAAATACAGTTGTCGAGATAGTAAACTTGGATCTGAGGTTTAACCGCCAACACCAATGAAACTTATATCCACACGACTTAGCTTTGCGGGTGTGGCACATCGTGTTAAGCGTTAGGAATATGCTCGTCACAGCATCTCTGATAACCCCGCATGGGTTCGCAGGTACCCGATATGGACTGGTATCGGGACCAGAGTCTGTGGCATGCCAGATGATTGAGCTGTCCTAATGGCTTTCTTTCCTCGGGATAAATCCTATCGTAGATAAGCTATTTCATATTGTTAAAGTTCGGATATTTTCGGTGCATTATTGTCATTTTTACACAATTATGAGAATGATTTACAACTATTTCGGAGGACCTTCTTCGAACTCCAGGGGTTTGGTTGAACCATAGGTGTAGCCAAGGCTCCCCTTCGAATTGAAAAAATGTTTTGAAGCAAATTTGTGGCATTTGCAGTAAGACTTAAATTCATACGCCTTTTTTGTCACAGTTTTGCTTTATTCTTGAACGTTTTACAGAAAGCCGGACGCTTCCTGGTTTACTATCAGTAACGCTTTCACCAAATGGACCAACCGAGATAGGTGGAAATGCACGCGTATATACCTTGGATAACTTCGACAGCAAAGTAAGTCTGAAAAGGTATTCTCCGAGATATGGTTAGATATCAGTTGCTACTTTGATCTGGCTATGCTCTTGGTTCAACCCAAAATTATGAAACACCGTCGTAAAATCAAAGCTAAATCTGTCTTTACGAGGCTCTGCACAACACTTAGAATTGTATTCCTGTGTGACTAAAGACCGTCAAAAAAAACGACATATTTAACATTTTAAATTTATTTTTCAAATAACATGTAACGTAGCATGTGGGTCTATATTACAATTTTGCACGCTTTAGTGGAATTACAACTAGTATGATACATAGGCAGGAAAATGTAGGCAGAGACTATGGAGGGGCTTGATTCCGAGACAATTTGTTATTGGTACACTCGTGTCTTCCGATTGAGGGATTTATTTTGAGTCAAAACTATTTTGAGGAACATATAAGTCTAAACTATCAACTTGAAGACGAATGTTATTTTAAATTCCGGAGTAGCTGTCTGAACAAAGCCGACTATACAAGCAGGATAGCATAATAAAAACTTGGCTGAGAGTGAACACTGGGAAAATTAAGAACTAAACTAGAAAAATGATGAACAATGAATTAATAAATTTGGAAACATTGCTGAGTTAATGAATTTTTTTTGATTTAGAAAATCACTTCAAGCGGTGAAACTAGGAAGAACGAGGAGTTTTTTGTAGCAGTTTTGCACCAAGCGCTGTAGCTTTGGTGCTCCAGAAATATGCGCACCAAGATGTCGCACAACCTGAATCCTAACCGGTACACAACACTATGTTCAGGTTGTGCGCCATCTTGGTGTCCATACTTCTGAAGGTCCGTGGCTCCTTTCCAATTGCCCTGTGGCCCTCGGTTGGAAACCACTGTAATAAAGAGTATGTGTCTTCAAATGGAATATCCCAATCACTCAATTTGCCATGATTTTTCCATCAATGCCAAATATACTTTGAAATGGTAACCAACGCTTACAACACCCTCACCACTAGGGGAATTCAAGCAAAACTATACAAAACCACAAATAGAATAAAGAACAGAAACAAAGTGATAGTTGGATGTCAATATTTTTGGGTATTTGTTTGGGGGCACTTTAGGGGTGTACACACGGTGTCCATGAAGTTCCCTTTACAATTACAATTCTGTTATGAAGTCAGTTCTCAATATCCAGGTTTTTGTTTTTAATCAGTAATTGTTCAAGTAATTTCACTTCATTTAATACATCTGTGAGGGCCAAAACAAGATATGGATTTGAAAAATTACCTTTAAATATTAAAAAACTTTTGAGACTTTTTAGACACTGTATATATCAAAAACAATGAATAATGTCGTATTTTAAACACATTCTGAAGCAATCGGATAGCCTAATATTCTGATTGCAGCCTTAGATAATATTTTCGAATGGAAATATTGAATGCATCAAATAATTTGACAACGAAATTTGTATGAATCGAAATGATAAAGAATAGTTCAGATCCAAGAGTTGATTGACAAAAATGTCCATGCCGAAACAAAATATTTCAGTTGCAGAAAACAAATTTAGCCAGAATTGATTAAAAAAATTTCCATCTGAAAATATTGTTCCGTAAAAGATTTTTCAAATTTGTGCATTTCTGTAAAATTTGAAGCAAAATATCATTTTTAGAAAGTTTCCTCAAATCAAGGTCACAAACAGTTAGTCAAAGATGGAAAGAGTACTGATAGAAAAGTTGCAAACAAACACTTGTACAAAGCTATTTATAGGGTTATCCTTGCAACAGTCAGCGGTCATAACTTGAAACAAGTCAAGACTGCAAGAGAACTGTTAGGAAATGCGAGAATTCTACTGATTAGCCAATAGCTATATATGTGTCTATCCTTACAACAGAAATACCAGAAGATAATAACCGATAAAAGATTGCAAAATATGGATTAATATTAATAACTAAATAATTGGATTAGCATTTTGTACAATTTGTCACAGAATTGATTCGACTTAGCCCAAAGCAAGGTCGCACCATGACAACTCCATGTCTTCTAAAAAAGAAATGCCGCAGATAGCCCAAGTAATTCAAGAGTCTTACTTCGCGATATATTCAATGTGCTGTTCGTCTGACCGAAGCCTTTTTTGTACTACTAGTAAAGTCGAAACCAGCAAGCAAATTAAATATCTATGTCCTACTGAGTTTTTTTAGTGGTTTACCCACACGCATTTAGAGATTAAACATTAATGGTAGACGTGTCTTGAGTCGCCACACATATTAGAGATACATAAAAATTTTGCCAACAGATATCTCATAAGATCCCACTTGACATGTTGGTGCCCTGTCGCCTTAAATCCAAAAGTTCAACTTTTACTGATAGATGATTCCCCAGTTATCATAAAAATATAGATTTGCTGTGACAAAAATGTCTCCATATTAATAAAGTACAAATGTTAAGAATAGAAGATTCATTAGTTGCCACTGACACATTTCAGAGGTACATATACTTTGTTGAGACAAAAAGGTCCCCCTCTATTTTTTTAAATTTGAATATCACTGGAAGGAATTACATTTTATTCATCAGGGGTACGCATTGACTTGTTCAGACAGATACATAACCCTAACCAAGTTCAAACATTACTGGTAGTCATGAGCCACATTTAGATTGGTTGCAACAAAAATGTTCCCTAATTCAAAAGTCTAAATATTACTGAAAGAAGTCCCAAGTTACCACTTATAGATTAGGGGGACATATAGAGATGTCACCCTAATATTAAAGTTCGTATACTGTACTTCTGATAAAATGACCACAATTAGCTACAGATACATTAGGGGTACATATCATTTTGTTGCCAAAAAAATGTCACCTTAATATGATAATCGTTATTGTAACGAAAATGTCTCCCTATTATTATAGTTTAAAGATTTCTGATAGAAGACTCGCAAGTAACCCACCGGTACAATGGGGGTACATATTGATTTGTTGCAAGAAAATGTCACCTTTATATGATAATCATTATTGTAACGAAAATGTCTCCCTATTATTATAGTTTAAAGATTTCTGATAGAAGACTAGCAAGTAACCCACCGGTACATTAGGGGTACATATACATTGGTTGCCAAAAAAATGTAACCTTAATATGATAATCATTATTGTAACAAAAATGTCTCCCTATTATTATAGTTTAAAGATTTCTGATAGAAGACTCGCAAGTAACCCACCGGTACAATGGGGGTACATATTGATTTGTTGCAAGAAAATGTCACCTTTATATGATAATCATTATTGTAACAAAAATGTCTCCCTATTATTATAGTTTAAAGATTTATGATAGAAGATTCACAAGTAACCCACCGGTATCGGTATGTCACCTTAATATAATTCCCTCTTCTGTTATAACAAAATGTCTCCCTAATATCGATAGTTGAAATATTTCTGTTAGAAGAATTACCACTGACATATTAGGGCTACATATAGAGACCATTTGATAATATGAGATCAGTAACAAAATTACACTTGAACATATATGGTCCAGGGATAATTAAAACAATTGTACAATAGATTTAACATGTTACAACTATAAATACATGAGAGCATGAATTTTTAAAAGGGCACACTGATATTTATTTAATTATATGGGAACGTTCATTATTTCTGCGTGGGATTAAATATTACCTGAATGTGAAATATAATATTCTGGCTGCAATAATCTTTCTATTTTGAAAAAAAATTAGTTTTTTTTTCATTTTTTTGAGTAAATTGAAATGCAAAATCACATTAAAATTAGTGTCCTCCCGTGAAAACACAGACAGGCGTAACATTTCCAGCAAGAAAATGAAAAACTGCAGAACTAGCCCCGTAATTTGAGTCCGATTTAAGATAAAATATATCCGAGTGTAATTCCGGTTACGAATGCCACTAGAAGGAAAATAATTATCATTCGTTTCTGCTGGGAGAGAAGATCTTGTCCGTCACCTGATGAACCTGGTTGACCCTGGAAAAGGTGGAATTAAAATTTTTGGGGCTCCCGAAATATTCGTACCAAAATGCCGCACAACCTGAACATAGTATGTTTATCTGGTTAGGGTTTAGGTTGTGCGTCATCTTGGTACGTATACTTCCGAAGCGCCCAATTTTTTTTTCATAAATGACATTTTTCAACACCAACAAAATTTGAAGTAATATGGAATTTACAACATGGGACAAGCTAAGGCGGGTGTGTGCAACCTTTAATACATGGGGGCCAGATACAAATAAACATTTTATGACATGCATTGTTCGCTTCTCACAAGCTACCAGTTAGGGGCATTGTAACATCAAAGGTTTGGATAATAAACTGGACGGGAGTGGAGTTCTAAACTAAAAAATAAAAGTTGCCGAACTGAGGGGTTGGCTTATACGAGCATAATTCTTATCGCACTAAAGAGTTTAACAGTGATAGCGAGGATAATTTTGAAGGATTTTGAAACATTTCTTACCGTTGTTGATTAAAGTAAAACATAAAAATAAAGGTTGTATTTTTCATAATTCTCAAATTTTCATAAATTCAACGCTTTAAGGTCGTTTCAGGGGGTCGTCTTATGTGCGAGGATATACATTACTCACTAAAAATCCCAACGAAAGAAGAAAAACTAAATGTCGACCAACCTTGAGTTGTTCGTTGACTTGTTTGAGCTTTGCGTTCTCTGATTGCAGTCGTTTGCATTCCTCCATGATCGACTGAAGTTCCGAGCCCGATTCTCCTCCCTGGGGGGTTCCCATGACGTCACTTGTGCTCGTCGGGGTCTGGGGAGTCTGAAAATAAATTGTAGTATGTGGAATTGTGTGGATTTTATGTGTATGTGAAAATTGCTTGTGTGTGAATTTTGAGCATGTGTTTGTGAATTGTTTATGTGTAAATATTTTGGTACTCCCGAAGTATGTGAACCAAGATAACGAACACTGGAACGTAGTATGTGTACCAGGTTAGGGTTAGGCCATAATTTCAGGTACGAATACTACGGGAGTCACTTGTCTAGTCCCCAAACTCGTAATACAACTAAAATAAGAAAAATTGGACAAAATTATGGCCCAACCCTAACCTGGTACACATACTACGTTCCGGTGTCAGCCATCTTGGTTCACATACTACGGGAGCACCATTTTTTGTGCGTCTAATACAAGTGTATGTGTTATGTAGGTTATGTCTAATTTATTTGTATGTGAATTGCGTGTGTGTGTGCAATATCATGTGTTTTCTGAAATGTGCAGATGAAACATGTGAAATGAATATAGAAAATTATCATTTTTACTTTGAACAAATTAAGAAAATACGAACCTCTATAATAATATCCATAGGCTGCATTCGGATAAAATAAAAGAATGTTTTGAAAAAAAATACCAAAGGAAATTTTGAGCAGGGACGGGTGAATTACAGCCCACAAACCGCATCCAGCCCACCGAAGTGCATTTAGCCCACTTGTATCTACTGAAATTGCGAGTTTCTATTAATATAGATTTCCGTTGAAAATATTGATGAAATAACGTCATAATGAACCCGATTGTTACATTATGCTTCTCGTTATTATAAAAAAGCAATCATCTAGTAATCTTAACTCTTTGTTGCAGCAACCTTTGCAAGTACAGAAACAGCTTTTTGAAAAAGATTCTTAGATTCAATTGTCCCAAAAAACGAAACCAAAATCACCTTAATAAAGTTCTTAACGAGAATATTGGTTGGAGACCGAAGACTTATCGATCGAAAGTGAGGGGATCCCCCAAAACAGAAACTGCGGTTTTGACTCCTTCGCTCTTACTCCACAGCGACACCACGTGCCCATCACTAATTAATAACTCGCTAATTATACGACATATTTCATCCAAATCAATAGGCTTCTGGTCCGAGATATGATGAATGCACATGCAAAATTTGGAGCAGATTCAACCTCGCTTTCGTGAGATATCGCTTGTATCTAACAGATAAATTCCTATCGACATACTCACCGATCTAGATCGATAAGTAATAAAATAAAACAGGCAGGCTCACCTCCTCTGGCTGTTCAAAAACACATTTCAATTTCGAGTCCATCAGATCAGCTGGGGATGCTTCTTTCCACTGAAAAAAAAATTAGAATTAGTTTAAATCAGGGGTGCAACAGATGACCTGTGGGCTACCACTCGACCCACCAAGCCATTCAGCGTGGCCCTTGTCAACACTCAGATTTTTCATCACGAAGCCTAAAATCATAATCAGACAGTTTTGTAATATAACCTTATCAAGCAATGAAACCAGAAAGAGTCTTTTGGTGAAAGGAAATCAGTTTAGCACCTAGCACTGTGGCCCCCTTCCAACTACTCTACACTCGGGGAAGGATGGATCCGGTTGAAAACCCGCCTGCTTGTCCAGAGTATGAAAAGGTCTTAAAAAATAATAATAGCTAAATCTCACCAAAGCCTCCAATAACCCCCCCCCCCCCATACCCACTGCTTCTAACAGAAAACTGCTATAACCACTTCGAATAACTGGAGCCAGAACTCTGAGAGTAAAGAGCTGCAAAAAATAAGAGTTAAGTCTCACCAAAGCCTCCATATCATCAACAGCATCAGGTGCGAACATTGTTTGTACCATGAACTTGTGTTTGAGTAGTTCATTTGGATCAGAGTCAAACGGTTGAAGCATCACTGAAAAAGAAAGGAACATGAAAAATGAAAACTGTTCAAGCTACCAAAAATTTCTATGAATGATACAAAAAAGTTTTGTTTTTTCACATTTAAAATGGGGAGATTCCGACTCTCTCCAACCAAGCCATTCATTCAGTGTGGCCACATCAACAGTCGAAATTTTTCCTGTTCAGGCATAAAATCCTAATCTGAGAGTTCATGTCTAAAAAGGTGCTCACACATGGGTTAATGGATACATGTTTTTGCTCTTGTCAATGCATTAAATGTTTTGCTGTTTCACTGTTTATTCTGAAGATTATGGCCCAGAACAAAAGTCGAAAAAACCACAAAAATTTCCATTTTGAATACATTCTGAAATAATTTTTTCGAATATGGAGTATTCAATGTATTTGAAAAAGGACCATGTAAAACAAATAAATTGAAGAAAGTTTGAGAAATCCATTGTTGTGAAAATCCTCTTTTCACATTGTCAGAATTGAAACTATGTTTTTTGTCTAATTAAATGTATTTGAAATGATAAATTATTTCAGATTTGGCCATCAATTCTGCTACTTTGAATACAGCATATTATACAAGCATATTAAATCAAAGAATTATCAATCAATACAGATCAATACCCGCAATCAATCGCCACCTGAAGTGACAATTTGTCTCAATATATTAATTACTTTGTCGCCTCTATTAATTAAACAAGAGGATATTCAAGGATATAGACGTGTAGGTCACGCACTTGTAAAATAGAGTTTGCCAAAAAGGTCAGAAGACTATATGTTATAAAAAGTGTTCCCATATCCTAGATAAGTATTCCCAGATGTCATAAAAAGTGTTCTCATACATTAAAATAAAACAACTAAGGTTTGGGTGAAAAATAAAAAATTAATATTAGTCTTCTAGTGGTTTTAATAACCCTTCACACGTCATAAAAAGTGTTTCTATACATTAGAATAAATCAGCTAGGATTGGGTGAAAAACGAAGTAAAAATAACAGCCATCTAATGGCTTCAACCATCTTCGAGTACTGAAAATTTAAAAAGTGAAAATTTGAAAACAAGTTGACAAAAACATAACCCATATATTTCTTGATTACTTCTATTGGAATGAAGAACAAACATTTCAGTAATCAAAGACGCTCTGCACAAAAGTTATTCTCTATTTAGAACGGTGGTTCTCAAATGATGGGGTGCGCTGAGGGGGCGTGGGGACGTTATGAGGGGGCGTGATGCTAATTAAAATAAAAAGGTTGTTAGATTCGATTTTGCTCATCTTTTCTCGGTTTTTATATTTTTGGGGCTCCCGAAGTATGCGAACCAAGATGGCGGACATCGGAATGTAATATGTGTACTGGGTTAGGGTTAGGCCATAATTTTAGGTATAAATACTACGGGAGGCTCTTGGCTAGTCTTCGAACTGATAATAGGACTAAAATAAGGAAAATTGGAAAAAAATTATCGCCTAACCCTAACCTGTTACCCATGTTACATTCGGATGTCCGCCATCTTGGTTCGCATACTTCGGGAGCACCATATTTTTTGTTTTGGATATTTACCATCATCCACGTATTTTTAACATGTTTTTCAAATAAAACATACTTTCACCTTACTATGTGATACTCATAGCTTATTGCTAGCTAGTTATTTTTAAGGTGAAGCGCGAGGCAAATTCTAAAAAAGGGGGCACTACTCAAAAAGTTTGAGAATCACTACTCTATTATATGTCCCATGTTTGGGGTCAGCCTGTTACATGCATTCTTCATTCAAAAAAATGAAACTTTCAGAATTTATTATTGAACATTCATGCATTTGAGAGACGATATAAATCTACTCAAATTTCATGACAATAAAATATTCTTGAAATGTTTTGAAAAACAGCATTCGCCTTGGTATTAGTAGCTCTAGCAAAATCACAGGTTCATCTGATTCTTGATTCATTGAAACAACCGAATTGTGATGACACACTACGTTTGCAGTGTCATAAAAACATATATTGTGTCATCATAAATGAGTCAAACATGTGATTAAAGATTTGATGACATTTGCTTTACCGGGTGATAAAACAGCATTAAGCACTGTTTGAATAAACCCAACAATCATAAATGTGCCAAAATATTGGAATAAATCAGAATTAGTTATATCGCCAGAGTGAAACAAAAAAAACTCATTGTTCTAGGAAAGTCCGCCGCAAAAATCTCTCTGCATGAATAATCGCTGCTAAAGCATTTTGCTGTAAAACAAGTATTTGTAAAAATAGCTAGGTTTTTGAGGTACCTTTTTATTAAAAAGAGATTCGTTATTCAATTAGGAGCATATCCTAACTCTATAAACCTTAATTGTTTTTAACACAAATACTTGTTTTACAGCAAAATGCTTTTTTCCTATGCGGCTAAAATACCTGTGCTGAGATTTCCTACGGCGAATTTTCGAACTCATGTCACATCTTTCAGGAAGGATGAATAAATCTTCTGCCATTATAGACCAGCGTGGTATGGGTTTTAAAGCTGTATTTATTTTAATCACGGTAGCCTTAGGTCCATTAGTAGGTTCGGCTGTTAGAACAGGACAAACCAGAAATAGTGGCATTCACTTGACTCAACTATCAGTTGAGGTTACGCAAGAATAACTACCTTTCCTTGCTCTATGCCTTTGTGGAAGTGGACCTGTATGTGTGTAACGCAAGGATGCTGTAGCAAGAATAAAGATGACTATACTATTTGATTCAAGAGTCTTGCTGCACACTAACACAAATGTATTTCTGTAACGTTTCGTCTTACCGAGGCCAGACTTTCCTTAGACAAACATTTTACAACTACGATAAGAAATGCGATGGCATGTACATGAATAGTGATTAGCAATAATTGGGTTTGTTTTCAATAGAGAGAAATAAAATCGTGTTTCTTATCATAGTTGAAAAATGCTTGTCTGAAGAATTCTGACCCCGGTAAGATGAAAGGTTACAGAAATACATTTGTGTTAGTATGCAGCAACTCTTGAATCACCTGAATATCCCCTAACACACTGTTTGAGAATCACCATCTATGAGTCTTCACTACTTTCCTACATTTTCAATTCAAACTCATTGCACAATCTATTCTAAGTCAAGCAAGACCAGATTAAAAGTATATTGCAGGGTGGTCCAAGGTTGTCGGCTCCGCGGGCCACCAAATTATTTTTGCATTGTTCGTGGGCCACAATAGTGCCAGGAATAGGTAAACAGTGCGATACAAAATGAACGCTTTTATTGTGCAAACACCTAGTTATCAGACATAGCCATTCCAGGCTAATAGAATCCGCATTCTATTTTTTTCTATGATGCCTATATTGTTAGCATATATTCCTGACCAAAAAGATAGAAAGCCAGATAATAATTTAGACAGCCAAGCACATCATTCAACTTCGCTAGTTGCCTCAGCTAGCCATAACACAAGTCAATTTAGTGACATTAGTGATGTAACAATATGTCAAAAGATTGATTAATTGGGGCTCCCGAAGTATGCGAACCAAGATGGCGGACATCGGAATGTAATATGTGTACTAGGTTTGGGTTAGGCCATAATTTTAGGTAGAAATACTACGGGAGGCTCTTGGCTAGTCTTCGAACTGATAATACGACTAAAATAAGGAAAATTGGAAAAAAATTATCACCTAACCCTAACCTGTTACGTTCCGATGTCCGCCATCTTGTTTCGCATACTTCGGGAGCACCGATTAATTTTATTACGAAACAACACGAAATGCGATTTTCCTAAAGGCGTAGAATTCTGGGTCGGGAACCCCATTTTTCTGCATCACACATAACATTTTTCCAAAACTTGAAACTCTTTTTAGATCTTCAGACTTGAACTCTTTGACCTCCACCGGGACTCGCCAGCCATTACTGTCTAACTTGGCAAATAGTAATCTCAGACCCCCCCCCCCATATTTGAAAATTCCTGGCCTGATTGGGTATTCTGTTTTTTGAAATGTTCAGAATCTATTGCAAATATCCGAGTAGGGTTTACATTCTTTCTGTCTTTGATTGTAAAATCCTCAAGTATTGCATAATATACAGTTCTCGGGTGCAAAAAACCCCTTTCAGAATATATTTGACATCCCATAATTAAAAAAATTATCAAAAAACAATAAATTATGCATTTTTGCCATCATCATCCCTGGACTATATTGTTCAAACTATTAAATATTAGCTACCCTTGCTATTATTGGCAGTACAAACCTGATATATTGACGGTCGCTTGACTCTCCACGAACCCGCTGTTTGGTCGGACACAATATCGTCTCGGTGCGGTCGTTTTTACTTTGAAGCAAACTCGCTTCTCTGAAGGATTCGTTAGTTGTAATGTAGATGTCACAACATCTTTGAATGGCCCTGGATAGAAAGAGTGTTTGGTTATTTTGTTTCTATATTAATCTCTGAGAGCCGATAAGACAGCTAAATCATACGCCAAACTGCAGTCTCTTGTCCGGTTACCACTCCATGTCGGGTATGGGATTAGTTAGTTATTTGTTTCAGATGCATGGCCTTGATGGTGGAGGAAGCTGTAACTGACCAGCGGTTACTTGAACCGCAACACAATGGCGAGAAGTCCAGCAATCCGCACATAATTATCCCCCAATAGATTCAAATCTGCAATCTAGCAGAAGGTAATCAGCGATATGATGGCAAGCCGTAAGACAGTAATGCCACAAGAAGCATATCTTTATTGATAATCAAGGATCTATTCTTTTATAAGGAAAAAGAAGATACATTATTGATCAAAAAGTTCTGACAAAAATTAAAAAACAATCTTTTATAGGTTTATGATATTCCTTCTAATGTCAGAATTTATGACATATCACAACAGCATTAACGTCATCTTAACGGGTGGAGAATATTCTGCCTAGTAATGCTCCAATGCTCACCTTTGAATTTTATTTCTTGAGGAGGGTCGATCTTCAAAACTTGTGGTTGCTTTGAACGAGACATTTTGTTGGTTTTATTTATAAAAGACTAGAACGTTATATATATAGAAGGCTCTGGAATGGAAAAGTATTCAAAATAAGGCGATGCTCAAATATATATACACTAAAAAAATGACAGCAAAATACCAGTCAGATGTTAGGAGTATCGAATGTCATATTAAGATGTGTCAATGAATTATAAGAGTCAACAAAATTCTGAAATATGTAAAAAATAATATAGCGTTCCAGCGACATTTTCCATCTTCTGAAATTTAAATCAATTGGACTATCATTTGCGGGAACACGATGCGCCTCACCATCACGCCAAATTTACGTTGAATTTATGTGTGGTGCAAGTCTCATCTATACTTTTTCCAACCAGGATACATATTGTTTCCATTAATCGCTATCAGTTTGTTAGGACGCAAAGGATGGCTCAGGCTTATTTTCTTTCTTTTTCTCTTTCGAGAATTTTATTATAAAATAGTGTGACTAGAACGCCTCCATTAAATTTCTAGAAGCTTTAGCAAATAGGAACTCATTGTTTGTCTCAATTTTGCTTCATTTCCAAATCAAAATCATTGAATATTCCATATTCTGATATTCAACAATAAATATTACTGTATTATTTCAGAACGAATTTGAAATAAGTTTAATACTGTACAGTAAGTCTTCTTGGCAAAATCTTATATTCTGTACATTTTAAACCCTTATCTACGGTTTTGTTTGCTTTCCTAATTTCATAATCATAGGGACGGACTAAAAGTAGGCACTTGCAAATTAAGCACTTTTTTAGGCACTTTGGAAAAAAAGTAAAAAGGGCGTAATACCTTTTAAAAACATAATTAATTAGTTAAAAATGGTCAAATTAAATGTTGAAAACGCAAATTGCAACGGGCAAACTCAATAACAATATTTAAAACGTAGTATTAAAGGCAGTCGCACGCGCTTGGTCACCACATATGCTAGGCACATATTTAGGCACTTCGAAAAATAAAGAAAATGGCAATTATCACTAATAAAAGACAGAGACATAAACATATTACCCACACTGATTAGCTCGGGTAAATATCCAATGGATGCACTTGAGTCTAGTACTGGAATTTAGAAATAATAAATTGTTACTGGTAGGCATGTATTTAGGCACTTCGGAAAAAAAGGTGAAATGGTTGTAGTAACTCCTAAAAAGGTAATGAATTAGTTCAAAATATTTAAATTAAATGTTGAACGCGAAAATTGCAACAGTTAAATCCAATAGCGATTTTTAAAAAGTAGTATTAAAGGGAGACGCACGCGCTCTGTCACCACGTATGCTAGGCACATATTTGGGCACTTCGGAAAATAAAGAAAATGACAATTATCACTGATAAAAGACAGAGAAATAAAAATACCCACACTGATTAGCCTAATCATATTTTCATTGATTTGTTTTTATCAATCATTTTATTGCTTGCTGATTAAGAAGTTGATTAACTTAACAATTTAATGTTATCAATTTCGACTAAGATTTCGCTCATAAAATCTGACAGTGCCGTAATACAGACATTAACATTTGATATTACTGAATGTAGTAATGTCCAATTGTCAATTCAATTTAGTGTCGATTTAAGGGTCTGGAGCCTAGATGCAGTAGATGACTTCAATCGGTCTTGCACACCGACCCGCACAAAGCAATAATCAATCACTTTGTTTTGTGGCAATAAATCTCTCTCTATCTGTCACAGATTTACGGTAGAAATTCTGCAGTTACAAAGGTTGTGGTACCGGTACGGTACCGTCTCGGTGCCGACAGTGTCTGTTCAGTCATATTGTCACTGGTACACGTTCGCAGATTTCAATTCGAAAGTATATATAACCACTAAAAACAAACAGTCCTCAAAAACAATTATTCCCCCCAAAAACACGCAATTAAAAACTCAAATTACCAAAATCGCTAAATAAAGTCGTGAGATGACAAACGACACCGAGCGCCAGCTGCAGAAACGAAGTGTCATCAAAGACTAAGAAAGTTATCACTACAGCGATCTGAACTTTAACCCGAGATGAATATTCTTAAAAACCCCATGATCTACAATTTTTACCAGAAAAAGATTTTATTTTAGCAAAAAACGTCAACACTGACGTAAATTTAAAACAATGTTAAAAAATAGTATAACAAAGTGAAAGATTTTCCTGGCCAGTGTATAAAAAGATTGAATAGTAGGTGCAAGGAGTCGAACCCTGATCCGCAATGCCCAATCTAGCAATCAGTGTAGTTTTTTATGGCTTGGTTTTTCTTAAAGCTTTCATGGCTTCATGAGTATGACTATCGTCGCAAATTTATTACATTCCACTCCCCACATTATCTTTGCATAAGGTTGTAGGTATTGGTCATTATCAACGTAATTGTTGAAAGAGAGTACAACAGCCCGAAAGTTTATTACTATCGTGTATCGGAAAACAAAAAGTGAGCACAATGAATGGGATTATCTACGCTTACCTAGATAAAAGGCGAGTAATATCTTCCTCAAATGATATCACTACTCTCTCTCGTCCCCTCTACTCCAAGGCTGCTGCCCGTTCAGTGGGACCAACCTCAAGACGTAGCGGTAGCCTATGAGCGGAGGGGAACGATTAACTCATTCATAATCTCCATTTTTCTTATTTGAATAGGCTAGTGCTGTCTAATCAATGGTTCTCCATCTTTTAAACATCTGGAAACCTATATAGCCAGACTAGATATTTAACTTTATTTTTTTTCATTTTTATTTTTTACTTTTATTTTGTTGTGCCACTGCCATGAAAACTAATTTAAAATACCCATGTAGAAATTGCCACAAATCAGTTCGAATCAATCAAAAAGCTCTTTATTGTGACATTTGTTCTTCTTGGATACATTTAAAATGTACCAATATTTCTGGACAAAAATATGAAAATCTTGAATCTGAAGCTGATGAAATACCTTGGTGCTGTTTCCTTTGTGAAATAGACTGTATGCCATTCTCTTGTCTCTTTGATTCTGAAATATCTGAGTTATTTGTTCCCCTTCATACAGAAAAAGCTGAAGCCCAGGCACTTGCCAAAATTCTTGATCCTGAATACCTTAACAAAATGTTTCTTGATTCAGCAAATACTGATACTGATGAATTCAACAACATTGATAGTGTTTTTCTTGTACAATTGCTCAAATCAATATATCTGCTCCAGTGATGTCAATGCCCTTAAATTCAACGACAGCCTTAAACTAAGTGGTTTCATGACTCTCTCCATCAATATCAGATCTTTAGCCTCTTTCAAAAACTTCACAAAATTTGAAGCACTAGTTAATTCACTGAATTGTAAGCCTCATGTAATTGCTGTAAATGAAACATGGATTGTATCTGGTACAAATGGCCATTTCAATGCACTGGATGGCTATGTTTTTATCTCTAATAGTAGATCTCATCACCGAGGTGGTGGTGTTGGTCTCTACATTCGAAATGATTTGAAATACATTGTCCGCAAGGATATTACTATAATGTGCGAAAAGGTTTTTGAATCTATATTCATTGACATATCATTGGAAAATAAAACAATAACCTGCGGTACTATTTATAGATCACCACTAACTGATGAATCGAACAATGCTAACTTTCGGAATCTCTTGTCCCAAGTTCTCTCAAAGATGAACAGGTTGAATTATAATTATATAATGGGTGACTTCAACTATAATCTTATTGATGAGTCCAATATGAATACCAGCCTATTTGTTGATATTATGCACAACCTGGCCTATTATTCTTTGATAAAACTGCCCACCAGGATAACTTCAAGTTCTGCTACCCTGTATAGACCATATCTGGACAAACGTATATGATAAAAAAATCAACAGTGCTGTTTTAGCAGAATGTGTTTCTGATCATCTGCCGATTGTACAATGCTCTCTTCTAGAAAAGCAAATTCAGACCAGAATTGAAACGCTTTATCGCCAGTTTACTTCGTCCAACTTGAATACTTTAAGAATGAACTGAATTCTATTGATATTGATGACTTCAGCAGCATCCAGGATCCCAACACTTGCTTTGAAAATTTTTTTGAAAAATTCTCCACTGCTTACTCTCAATCTTTTCCTTACAAAAAACAGACAAACAGATCAAACAAACCTTGGTATGATACTGAGTTACGCAAACTCAACAAAGTCAAACAAAAACTTTATAAGAAATTAATAAACAATAAAAACATAAATGACAAGCACAAATTACAGTTCAATGAATGCAGGAACCTTTATACTCGATTGCTCCACAAAAAGAAATCAATTATTACAAATCTAAATTTGCTTCTCACAAAGGCAACATCAAGGCAGTGTGGAAAACAATTAATGAGCTTATTGGTAAAAATAAAACAAATTCTTGTCCTTTGATTGGACTTGATTGCAGTAATACACAAACTGCAAATAAATTTAATGAACACTTTTCCCAAGTGGCACAAAGCCTGCTTGACTGTATGCCACAACCAGCTGGCTGTGACAAAAATTACATTTCATATCTTGGGAAGCAAGAATCCTCATCCATGTTCTTAAGGCCAGCTACATCATTAGAAATAAAAATATTATACGCGATATGAAGCCCAAGTCAAGTTTTGGAATCGATGGTATTCCATTTAAAATATTGAAATATGTTCCAGAACATATTATTGATATCCTGACATATATATTTAATCTTTCACTATCTAGTGGATTATTCATTGAAAGCTTCAAGACATCCAAAGTTCTTCCTCTGTTTAAAAAGGTAGTGTTTCAGATCTTGGAAACTATAGACCTATTAGTCTTTTACCATCATTTTCTAAGATTCTTGAAAAAATAATGTATAGTAGAATGTCAAACTACTTTGAAACTAACAATGTTTTCCACTCGCATCAATTTGGTTTCCGCAAGCATCACTCCACTGCTATGGCTGCTAATGTTTTGGTACACAAACTGACCAATGCGTTTGAATGCAAACAACATGCAATTGGAATATTTCTTGATATCTCAAAAGCTTTTGACACCATTGACCATTCCATCCTCTTAAGTAAGCTCTATCACTATGGAATTAGAGGCGTTCCATTCAATTGGATCAAGAGCTACCTTCAAGACAGGAAGCAAATTGTGC